GGAGGGTCTTCATACGGTTGAAAGCCGCACCCTTCTTGGTACCGTTCAACCTTATAACATCGAAATCATTATCATCATCATCTATTCCCAGATCAGTTATTCCCAAGATATCACTGATAATGCTGGCATTGTCATCGACATCATCACCATCCCCAACCGGCAAAGTATTATCAAAGACATAAGGAGACACAGTAGCTGTCATAAAGGGAGAGACCGAGGATGTATACCCAGAAATTCCCGGTGACCCTCGACCAAGATACTCCAGAGAAGGAGCAGGTGATGCTCCACGAGGATGAAAGCCCGACATGCTTGGCAAAGGAATTGATGACTGCAAAATTTGTGGAGGGAGAGTATGCTGCAAAGACTATACAGCCACCGACGACACTCTACTAGAATTCGCCGACCATGGTGCAGACTTACTGCCCCTAGTTGTTTTCGCCTGAGTGGCTAGAGTAGTGGTATGAAACAGAAGTTGAAGAGACTTACGACCTCGTAAGACAACATCGAGAAACTCCTGGCGAGAAACAGTAGGTAGCGACCGTCTACAAACAAGGAGATTAGATAATACAATGTTCCAGAAAGCTGATACGAGAATTCCTAATGTCGACAAACCTCCTTCGATCAGACCCAGAAAAGCCCTTACATATCTTAAGAGTTTCTCGAGAAACTCTAAAGCCATAGATTGATCTTTCAGCCAGAATCAGAGAACGACAGGAGTAAGAATCAATACATAAGCATACTCTATCATCTTCCAGGACTTGATATATGTGAGTGGAGACTGGATATGCTTGAATCCAGAAGGACGAGGAAATCCTTGAAAAGCTTCAAGGAAAGCATCAAGAGAAGACTTTTGTAACATAATATCTATCAAAAGTTGATGAATATTATTGACAAGACTTATAAATTCAGAGTATACCGTATCTACTAGACAAGTATAGAACAAATCTAATGCCAGAGTCAAAGAATAGATAACCTAGAAAACAGAATCGTCATTATCAAGACCTATAGCGTTGACAGTCTTCTTCCTATTTGTTAGTACCTTTGAGGCAGCAATTTCCTAGACCACTTGTATGTATAGATGATACCGACCTTGTTATATGGTGTTCGAAGTCAAATTGTGCTCGACTTATCTTCAGGATCAGATAGCTCCAAGAACCCTTTATAGCTTGGTATCCTAGGTAGCCTAAGAGTTCTTATTGCTAAACTATATCTCCAGTAAAGTATAGTAGGAAAGATTTCATAAAGACTTCTTGCCTTTTAGTGTCAACCACCCAGCCTTTATCTAACTAGCATAGGTGACCGAGCCCACAAAGAACCTTAGAGAGTTTTATGCCAAATGGCGTAAGCATGATGAGAATCACCATAGACCGCTTATTGACAATATGTTCCAGGAAGAAAGACAGGAGGGTATATACTCCGATGACTGATCTATACATATTCACGTAGAGCCCAAATGTATCAATATACGTTATATAAGGCAGGGAAAAACGGTTGGATTTGCCGCTGAGATTCGTGAAGTAGTCACGGCTCCACTGCTTAATCTCCAACTCACCTCGATAGAGGCGAGACAGTTAGACTGGCTGTAACTTGTCATCAATGCTGTCAAGGATATATCGGACAAGGTAGCGAGCATCTCCCACAGGATTCGATATAGCCTCCGAAGGTTGGAATGTATAGTCGATGAACACACCTTCCAGGCGACGAATGATGTACAGGGAAGACATAATACACTCACGACCACTGGTGAGAATAAGTTCTTGCTGATCTAGGGAATTTGGTACGAAGGGAGGCTCCGTGCCAAAAGAATCCTTGTAATTCCCGGGAAGTGTGTCAGCAGAGTAAACAGGGGAGACTGATGCAATCGCAAGCTCCGCCGCATGCCGATCTTGGCTGCACCGACGGTGATCTTCCCCAACCCACATCACTCTGCCAATATGGGCGACCCTAGAGGCATCCGAGCATATGCTACAGATCAAATGAGAAAACATCCTCTTACCACCGACTCCGGAGGGGAAGTTTTGGCCTGTCGAGATCCACGGTATGCTTCCACAGTTGACACTTGGGAATTTGAAACTTGAACTTCTTCATCAAGCTGTCCTTATACTTTGGGAGTTGTCGTAAGTCGGTTTTAGGACTTGTCTGTAGGATGCTCCAAAGAATTGACTAGTTGTCTTTGAGAGGTTTGCCTTTGTGACAAAACAGTGCGAGTTTCATTTCAGTTTCCGTCATAGTGAACTCGTTGCTTTCTACTGGAACCAGGAAACTCATGTCAGGTTCGGAGGGTTTCGGAGACTCGCTAGATTCTTCTGCCAGAGTTGCTGTTACCAATCGAGAAGAGACATCGTTTATGTGTGAGGTCTCTGAAGTTTCTGTGTCAAGTTCTATGTTTACGAACTCATCGGAATCGTCATCAATGTCTTGCTCAATCGAATTGTTTTAGGAAAAGGCAAAACATTAGTATCTTCAGTCTTGCAACTCTCCTCAATCTCTACCTTCTCTTCTATTCTAAGAAGTCTTATACGAAAGTATAATTCTCCTTCTACTTTGATGAAAATTTCAATCTACTATTATTATTCTAATATACTTATTAAAACTTAACCTTATAATTAAATCTAAAGTTAAAAGGCCTTACTTAAATAAATATATATAAATATTATAATTATTTAGATTGTAATAATTAAATCTTAAGTTTGTTTTTCTTTTATAATTATAATAATCTAATTTTTATTATAAAAAGTATTTATTAATATTATATTTTAAGAAGAAAATATTCTATAGTTAAATATATAAATAAAATTAAAATTTAGTCTATATTAAAAGTTTAATTAATATACATAGTATAAGAAATATAATTTTTTTTTATATAAAAGTATCAATTAACTTATTATTAATATTAGTTTTATTAAGTAAATAATATAAAATTAAATAAATAATATTAAATTTATTTACTATCTATTTATTTTTATTTATATATTATTATATTAAGGCTATATAACACAATTGACAGCATTATAAATTGACCTTCTTAATATCTATACCTTACCTTACAAAGTATAAAATCGTTGGTTTAAATCTATCTAGATAGCTATAACCATCCTTCACTTTCTAATTTTTTAGAAAAGTAAGAAGCTAAATAATCATTTAAAGACTTTATCTACTTTTAAAAGATTCTTAAAGCCTTATTAGATAGTATTATAACAAGATAATATCTAACAAAAGTAAGATAGCTAGCTAATAAAGGCTATATATTAATATTTAGTAAAGAGAGTCTATACTTTAGCTAGAAATAGTATTAAAATGTTAAGAAAGTTATTTTACTTTATTAATTAATATAAAATTAATAATAATTTACTTTAAAAACAAATTTAAATAAATTTTTAATTTTAAAAATAACTTAAAATATTATTATAATTAAATTAATATTAGTTAAAATTGAAAATTCTTATTATTTAAAAAAGCTAATTAACTAATCAATAATTATTTTTTTAAGATATTAAATCTTATTTATATAAATTAAAGAAACTATCTAAAAAGAATATAAAAAAATAAAAATTAAAGTTTTTTACTTTAGAAGAAGCTTTATAGTTAGAAAGTCTTAGATATTAGTTAGAAGCTTTTGACAAGAAGGGTAGATAGTTAGTTAAAAGCCTTTTAAAGTTAATAGTTAGCTTATAATATCTTTTTAGAATGTTTTTTCTATAGTTTTACTAGTATAGCTTATACTATTATAATTATATGCTGTCAAATAAGTAATAAATTATTATTATATATTAGTAGACTTTAGTTTAAACTTTTTATATAACTTTATATTATAGTAAAAACCTAGTAAAAGCTTTAAAAGTTATATACTTATCTATATTTAAATGACATTTAAAATACTATTTTTATATAGTTAAATTTTATATAATCATTTTCCACTATATATCAAAATACTCTAATCATATATATAATAAGAAAAACATTTGCTTATTTAACTAATATATTTACATTTACTAAAGGTTACTTCTCTAAGTATATTAGTTTAAATAGACTGTTGATAAACTTATATAACGACTATTGAATAAGAGCACTATCTATGCTGAAACAATATATAATATATCTTCTGAAGTATGTTTATTACTTAAACCCGTTATATATCACCACCAATGCCGAAGGTCCGTTTACTACCTTTGTCTACGGTAAGTGTAGTACAACAAATGTCAATAAGGAAATATACGTATAAGGAGTAGACGAGAGGAGCTCATGAGAGGTATCAACTAGAGATTTACAGGCGAAGCATTCGAATGCAACCGAGCATGCATGGCAAACATCGTAGAAACCTTTTGTTAGTAATAGGCTATAATAGAGCTCCGAGTCCATGTACGATTGAAAAGCATCTAGTTTCGGCTGTTTAGAATTATACCATTTTACCTACTTCAACATAGACTCTTGCGGCGAGCAGAAGAGGAACTGTGCGGGCATTGTAGATTGCATATTGTGCTATCTAAGCAGTACAGTACAGACGAGCGTGCACCTGGCTTATATACCACATTGAGCCTTGGTAAGCGTAGCGTCAGGTAAGCTCACAGTGAGGAGGGGAGAGGTGCCACTACGTGACAACTTTTCAAGCCCCGATTGTCCTCTATTAACTCCCTGGGATGGTCAGTCTCGTGATTGCATGCCAATATGCACTAGGTTGATCCTATTGTCATGGAAGCCTGTCAAATTACGAAAAAAAAAACAAAAAAAAAACGGCTAAATTGTATGTTGTTTTGCAACACCGCACCGGCCCAAAATAATATAACCATATTTACACGCATACCTCTATAGAGGCAGGGCGATGCTCCGTGCCTCAAGGGAGACGAGAAGAAACGAAGGATACTAAAATATCTTCTGCAGATAGAATGCCATAAACCCCAGAATTTGAGTCACAAAGGAGACCCGATGCTCCAAATACGCCCTCCCTCTTTCAATCTGACTGCTTTGTCACTGAAAAGTCGATAATCAGAGTCGGCCCTTGTTCAGGCGGCGTCGGCACCTCCGATGCCCCAATATTGTTCAGCATAGAAGGTTGCTGCCTCTGCTTTCTTCCAAGCGTCATTGAATGCGCTGAACAGTACCAGATCACCGGGGTTTGTCTGGAAAGCTGCCTTGATGGATGAGATAGCACTAGATTGGTGATCTAAGCCTGGTACCGCCTGCCCGTTGCTGTTGCCTTGCCACGGCCAACCTGACTCAGTGACGACGACACGCTGATTCGCGTTGCCCAATTTCTCCCGAATGCGATTGATCTGGTTTGCAACGAAGACACCAGCCTGGTTGGCAGAAGTGTTGGGATCGAAGAACGGGTGGATATTGGCGGCACAATAGTCAGAGGCTTGGCAAAGCTCAGGGTGGGCGAGATGGGCCACGAAGGTGTCAACAGTCACAACCGGACCGCTGAACCCAGCCTGACGCAGCATCTCACGGGCCGAGTTGACAGCATTGATGACTTGACTGGGGCTAGCCTGACCATTATTGACGAGTTCATTGCCGACACTTACTGTGTCGACGATAGACCAGTCGCTGCCTACTGCGCTGGTCAAGGCGGACACCTGGTCGGACAGGTTGTCGAGGCTGAATATGCCCAGCATGACCTTCATGTTGGTTGCTTTCGCCGATGCTAGAACGTTGGTCACTTGGTTGCAGTCTACACCGTACGTGCGAACCATTGAATATGTGCCAGCCAAAGTCTGGAAATCAGCCTGGACCTGGCTGGCAGATTTGCAGCTCCCATCTGCATTGTACGGAGCATAGGCCACACCAGGAAGGCTTGAGCCTTCGACTGCGTTGGCGGGAGTTGCGGACGAGCTTGGAGTCGGTTGCTCAGCCGTTGGTTGAGCAGAAGACGCTGGTTGTTGATCGATGGAAGAGACCTGCACAGTCACAGCTGGCAGCACGAAGCCGCTGGACGGCAGATCAACGACAGCTGTCTGTGTGGATGCAGGAGAGACAATGGCAGAGGCCGCGACAGAAGCCGCGACAGAGGCAGGCGGAACGAGGACCACGAGGGCCTGGGCGGTGCGGACAGGGACGCCGGCCTGATCGACAAACACGACAATTTCGGGAATTTCTGTAGGGACAGAAATCGAGTTGTCCACAATTGTGACGCGTTCTCCTTGCTGGGGAGAAGCCCGATTGTGCAAATGGGCGTGACCGTGGCGATGCTCTGCGATAGTTAGATCAATATGTGATGGCTGGTTGTTGGTAAAAGAGACTTACTGGCGGCACTTGCGACGGCTGCAAAGCCCATCAGTAGGACGGAGCTGATAGACGGTTTCATATTGAAGGCGTTATTATCGTTGTTCCGGGTGTGACTATCGTTCAATCACAAGGTGCTCATCAGGACGAGACAAGAGCAGCTCTCGACGCGGTCGAAGAAGTACGTGTTGGACGTAGATGGAGAAGGAAGAGCAAGTTGCTGGCCTGGTCGGTCCCGTGTATCTGTCTTTCGGGAAGTGGACAAAGAAGAACCACGAAGAAAGCAAGGGAAGTAACGACCGGACGGAACGGATGCTTGCTGGTTGAAAGAAAGAACGAAAGAGTAGATGCTCTTGAAGGAAGGAACGATTGACAATGACGCCTCTGAGAACGAGGTTGATATGGTAAGGTAGTGAAGAGACGAAGAGGGTCAAGATTTGAGGGGAAGAGAGGGAAGGATAGGTGATGGTCGTTGGTTTGTTTGGTATGCGATGAGGACAGTCTTCCGAGAGGAAAGAACAAACAAACAGGCTCAGTCACGCACTCTCCTCTCCTGCAATGTGTGTGCGACCTTGGCGACCTTGGGATTGACCGTTCAAGATGCCAATTATGTCGATCTTACGTTTTCCCGTCCCAGGGTTTCTTCTTCTTCGACGAGGAGGACAACGACAACGCGTGAACAGATGGGAAATGGGGAAGAACACATCAACATATCCGGGGACATGTTTATTTAGCTAGGAGAAAAGTCAGGAATGTTGTCTGAGACAATCAAGCATGCGCGCACTCTGCTGCATGCTGCAAAGTGCATAGTGCTGATGATGCAGGAATGTAAGGATGGAGGCTCAGGAATGCCACGCCTTGGCCATCTAGGCCTAAAATGTGAGACATATCCATCATTGAGAAGAACACGCCCACGGCATAGGTGCGCGGCATCGACCGCGTCCGTCTGTCTCGACTCTGCCGGCCTGTGGCTCCCGTTGCCCGCCTCCCGTTTTCTGGTTGCGGACGATATCCAGCCTCTTAAGGTAGCCATGCAACCGCAACTATCAGTCTAGACGCACCAGAAATCTTCCGGATCCTGCAACTCTACACCCGACCTGGTAGACGGCTATGCAATGCGGAACTGGTGTCTTCTGTTGCCCTTGTCAAATAGAAGATGTCATATGCAATGACCCTCCTTATAGACTTCAGCTCGAGTCGATCTGAAATCAAAGGCTGGGAGGAAGAATGGTAGCAGAGAAGCGGTGCTGAATAAAAGCTCTCCATATATTATGCCTGACGATGAGCCTTGTAAAGGGAACCTCGCTAATATGTTCGTGCTTACGGCATTTCGAGTGTCTGCGCTTCACACGACCTGTGGTTTCTTGTTACTCTCGTCAAGTCATGATCGGTAAACCCGTAATCGCTCAAGCACGCAACAGACGAAGAAGACCTTCGAGCACCATCCGGGAAGCGTTGAGACTGTACGCTCGACTACGAAGGCGACAATCTAGTACTCTCTTGCAAGGTATGGCGTTGGCTGTCTGTTGACCTATGCTCTGCCAAAGATCCGCACTAAGAGAAGAGCCTGATGTCGCGCACTGTCCCATCTTGTTTTTGGACGTGATCCGCGACAACCATGGTCGGGGCCGAGTAGGCATAAGACACACGAGTCTGACAGAACGGACAAGTCATCTTGCCCCTGTCGCTGTATCTTCGTCAGCGCAGGATTCTTGCACCAAGGGGCGATGGGTTGACATATGCGCTCATCCACACAATTTCTTAACTTTTGTTAGCCATCGGAATAGTCGCAATCACGTCTGGGGACAGCCCAGAGGCTTGTAAGATATTAATCATTAAGGGGTCATGTGCTACCTGGAAACTATATCCATGCACTGTAGAGTCTAAAATGAGGAATACACCATGGCTTGGGGAAGAAAACGATGTGAGAAGGCTGCCATCCCAAAGACCATAACTTAAGATACGGGAGGTAATGAAAGTTTGTTGTTTGATTTCCGTGTCATGACCTTGGTAATCGCGTGTCTGATAGTGACGCCGGCCTTCTCGACGTCCTTCCTCGACAATCCTGACGTGATGCAAACCTTCAAGGCCGGCAAGGCTTCCCAGCTGCCATCTTTGGGACCGATGCTGTTGGTGACTGGGGCTGTTCTGAGACGGGTTATGAGAACGCCATTTGTGAGTGCCTAGTAATGAATGTCAGTATCAATCTGACACCAAGCGCGGGAGTAGTGGACAAAGCTCACCTCGTCGACACACTCTTGCAAGAGCCGCTCTTGGTCCTCAACCCCTAACCGCCTCGCTCGGACAACGTCTGCTTTCAGTACCAGAAGCACGATAGGGTTCTCCGGAGCGCTTGTGCACACAACCCAGTCGCTTCGTGGGTCTAGTTGAGATCGCATCGCGCGAATGTTCTCGCGGCACTGGGAAAGAATCTCGGGATTTGACTGAAGAACATTGAGCGTTTCGCTAGCAGTAACGGCTAGCATGGCTGGCAGTGCCGCAGAATAGGTATAGGCTGCAGATGTAATGCGCTGGTGTTCCACCACGTCCTTGGGCCCAGCACAAAACCCACCACCAGCACAGAGGGGTCCAGCAAGAGAGCCGACAATCATGTCAACCTGGGAGGGATCCACATTTTGAGCCTCTGTAAGGCCGCGGCCGGTCCGGCCCAGGACGCCGAAGGACCAAGTTTCGTCTAGAATGATGCGGAATTTGTACTTCTCCTTTAGTTCGATCTTTGACGCCGTCTGATTAGCATTGGGTCTTGGATTGGATTTCTCTTATTTAGCACGAGGTCTAACTCACAAGGCGAGGTAGATCCACCGAGCGGCCTGTGGTTTCGAACAAGCCTTCGGTGACAATGAATCGCCGCGTAAGCTGCTTCTTTTTGGCTTGCTCTCGCACAACTTTCTGCATGGCGGCCTCGAGGTCGTCCATGTCGCCGTGGTTGTACCATTTGATATTACTTCGTGAAATCTCTAGGCCCTTGCGGATCGAGTAGTTGACAGCCTTGTCCGCAACGATGATATCGCCGCGCTTGCAGAACGATGGGATGACGCTCGAGATTGTAGAGAAGGCCTGCGCGTATACGATGCACGCCTCTGTGCCTAGGTATGATGCGATGTCTGCCTCTGTCTTCATGTGAACGTCTTGAGTGCCATAAAACTGCGGGGGACCGCAAGGCCCGACGCCGTAGGTACGGAGCGTCTGGATCGCCTTTTCCTTGATCTGCTCGTTGGCATTGAAGTTGTAGAAATTGTAAGAAGCGAGATTTGTGACGGTTCGGCCATTGGAAAGCTTGGACTTTGGCCCAGTAGGTCTGGACATGCGCTTAGTTGAATAACCACTGCGGGCGGAGTATTAGAGATGGAACAACATACCCGACGATGACGGGGGCTTTCTCGATCTCCATCTCCTCGAGACTTGTCTGGGCAGCTACCAAGGGCTCGGGGACCCATTCGTCAACCAGTTCATCGATTTCCTGTGAGCACCCAAGTCAGTAGGGTGGTTTGTCGACCACCAGGAGCCAAGGAAGGGCACATACGTCTTCGCGAAGCTTGATGAAGTTGTCCTTGTGTGTAGAGTACGAAGGAGACAGCAAGTATCGAATAAAGAAGATGACGAGAACCAGCTCAATGGCAGAGCGGACGGGGTCGTTCTGGTAGCTAGACTGGACATAGCGGATGAGCACGGCTGAGCCAGGGACTTTTTGGAAGGCGTGCGAGGCGTCGTGCAGCCATGCGGCCATCTGAGTCTGCACCTCGTGGAGATCCATCGTCGATCTCCGTCGCAAACCTCGCCTTGTCCTTCCTTGGCACTCGATGTCTCGTTGTAATAGCGGTGGCAGTGGTAATGACAACGGCGCTGTTGTTTCAATATTGGAGGACTGACTGACTGCGGCGTCGTGGGTTGGTGGCAGATGTCTATCTTTCTCACCTCGTAAGCGAAGGACATGGACGGCGGTTGACGGGAGGGCCTCCAATTGACGTCGCGTCTCTTTCCAGGGGGAAATTTTACCACGCTGTGCCGCGCTCAGATCGTGCATGGGCAAGCCGCACCTAAACGTGGCGTTAAATGGGTCTCTGACTGATAGAGGGCAACCACAGTATCTGCGTAGAAGCCTCGCAAACCGAGGTGCTCTACTAACTTGGAGCGGCCAGCACTGTGTGGGGGAGATCCATGACCCCTAAGACTTCTACTGGCTTGCCAACTTTAGCTGGGTCAGGTACCCCTTTGCAGGGATCGTCTAATTGATGGCTTCCGGCTGGTCCGCGAAGTTGCAGTCGACAAGAAACCGTCAAGTGATGCGAAGAACAACGCTGCCAAATCATGTCTTCCAGTTGAAAGTCTCCGTATGTGCCTACTACATAGTAATGCTGAGCATGGAGTCGTGCACGTTGTGCTTCGCCGAGTATCGAGTATGCTTGACCTCGAAAGACAAAAAATATCAGGTCCCTCGGGGTCAATGACCCACTTCACCGTAGACTATTCCTGCATGACTGTATCTGTGAGGTGCATGGTCATTGATGGAACTTCTAACTTGCATCTTTTCGTAAAAGCTATCGTGGGCTACACAGGAATTCCGAGCCTGTGGCCTGCCTAGGCATTACAGAGAGAATCGATCAGCATTCGCCCAAACCACAGGGGTACGTACGCCCTCTCACGGTACCTTCTTGGATAGGTGGTCACGTCACGTTAATCATAGATAGATGAGGTCTGGTGCGTTATTGTGCCATATTTTACAATTTGGTTGCTATTCTTATATATATGTTCTTTCTCTCGTCCCACGCAGTCATTAAGGGACACGCCGGTCCTCGTGCCAGGAGGACATTAGCGCCATTCAATCTGCCCACTCCTCTGCAGAAGGTCTTGCGATTTAGAGGGAAAGGAAAGCTAAGCACACAAAATAAACAGAAAACTCCATTGCCAATGCCTCATTTTTCTGACTCCGGCATGTTTGGATGTGCCGGGAAGTGCAAGAAACAACTATGATTATAGACCCATCCACCAGCCGATTAGAAACGAGGCTAAAGAAAACGAAACGCGTCTCACCGCGTCTCCAGTAGAAAGAACGCCGGTAACAACGTCGCCTCTCAGTATGTACGCAGCGGCATGCAGATTGATAGGTGTAACTCAGTCACTACCAGTAAGTGGACTGTAGACGCACGACCGCAAGCACATCATGTTAACTTAGAAAAGACGGAGCTTGTCGTTACTAGAGTCGGTTGCCGTTGCCTTGGCGGTCGCTGTGCTACTGGTCTTCAAAGCACCCGTGTAGTTAGGCCGTCCTGTACCTGTTTCAGTGCGGCCGTTCGTGTCGTCATTGTCTTGTCCAGTTGGTTGAAGAAGGTTTGTGCTGTCCAACAAGTCCAATTTGGGGATGTTCTTGCCTGCGACGATCGGCCCAACGATGAGACCAACGAAGACAACAAGCATCACAAAATACAAGATTGCGTAGCGGAAAACACGTCTCCGCCGAAGTTTGGATTGCTTCATGGAGTAGATGGGTGGGCGGATTTGACGACTGGGCGGGCAAGTCAGACACGATTGAAAAAAAAAAACAGACACTGAAGAGAGGGGGGAGGCTGCAACGTACCTTGGTCGTAGCCAGAAAAGCATCATCGAATGGAGCTTGTCAATCTGAGGAATAATGATGGCAGGGAGCATCATGAAGAGCAGGATATGACCCAAAACGAAGTCTCCGGCAAACATGCTCAACTCGGTGATCTTGCAGAGAAACTCGCGAGCAGGTTGAGAGACGGAATGCCAACCCATGGAATACCATTTGCCTGTCCAGAATGCGATATTGGCCTGATCAGTCCTGAACTCTCTGGTAAGAGCCAAAGATATAATCAGCTTGAAGATAAAACGCTGAATGGCAAGAACAGTGATCATGCCCAAGAGAGTCTTCGTAAAGTTAAAGCCCTCGAGGAAGAACATGACTTCGAAGAAGACAAGAAGCATGATCACAGCGATGCCGTGAGCGATGGCGGCTAGGACGCTACCAAACTTCTTGCAGCACATGCTCAGCAGAGGACCCATGAAGCAAGCCATGGCAAACATGACGGCGAGAGTGCCTGCGTTGACCGCAATCGGCGCAAATGCCACAATGGCCACTCTCAGAAGAGAAGCGGTTGCCTTTGCATCACGGTCGTTGTGCTTGTTGGGGCCGTTCACGCCGGTCTGCGCATTTATGAACAAATAAGGTATCAATGTGACCGCAACGAATAGAAGTGGCCCAATGATCTCGCCAAAGAACAAGTTGGTGATAGCCGCGCGGGGAACATCCGCAGAGAGCTTGCCAGATGGATCTCCCATCGTCTTTCGCTTGTAACCAGTGATACGGGTTCGCGAGAGACGGGAAAAGGATATCCATGAAGAAGCATGAGAGCGCGAGTTTCCACGAGACAGCCACCGGAGGAAGTCTCGGTAGTCGATGAAAAAGTCACTCCAGGCGAATTGGTGAGGATTGTAGAGGAATGGACAGATGACAAGACCGAGCAGCGAAATCCAGAAATACACCAGCGCAGCTTGCCAAATGGTCAACGTTGCGAATAACAGCATCATCATCATCCGAATGCCGAAGTAGATGGAAGGCCCGGCGAATCGGGAGAACAGAACCCCAAAGGGTATACGAGCAGTGGCGAAGCCTCGACCAGTACCAATGTAGCGCGCACCGCCAAAGGAGAGATCCTCCTGCACCGAGTTGGCATAAATTTGAGTCATGAACACTTCGAACAGAGGGGAAACCGAGCAAATCTGCTTGGCTAGACGAGTCGCCGCACGCCAGAAGCCACGCTCCGTCAATTCCTGGATAACCAAAGGAACGTACGACAGGAACAGAACGAAGAAAATAGACATGACGCAACGCCAGACCCAGTCCATGATTGCGTCGGTGTTTTGGCAACCAGTGGGATAGAGCGGATCCGTGATAGGTACATCGCGGTTGTAGTCGCAGGGAATTGTCTCATGACGCAGAGCGCCAAGGTTTAGACAAGTGATCATGAAGATTTGGACGGAAAACATGATGAGCATATTGTTCAAATGGAAGCCAGGATGCGCATAGTAGAACGACAGGAAGCGATCCAGAGGGAGCTGAGTTCCGAGATAATAGTACTCTCGGGAGAGCATTTGCTCGCCCATACCCGTACCAATCTTGGTCGTGAAGTTCATGATCGATCCTAGGCCGAGATCACGACCCTTACCACACTGGTAATATTCGCAATGCTTGATGCGCCCACCACGCAGGAGAGCATTCATACCGGCATAGATATCTTCGTTGAGGTGAAGTCCCTTTTGTGCCTTCGAAACGCCGCCTCGAGTCGTCATGAATATGCCGTTGAGGAAATCCGGGTGACCGTAATGAAGCTTGCCACCAATGTGTGCGAGGGTTCGCGCGAAGAGGGTACCGAATGTCTGTTCCTTTCCAGCTGCGACATCACCAAGGATACCAATGTTCTCGGAGAAAATATACTCGCGAGCACCTAGAATAGCAACAGGAGCACGAACGGCATTTTTGACGCCAGGGGTATAGGGTGACACGTTCTCAGTCTTCATTTCTTCGAACTCAGCCAAGACGCTCCGAATCTTCAGGCACTCTTCGAGGTAGTTGTCTTGATTGGCATCGATAAGCTGGATGTACTCTCCGCGGTAGAAGATCAGGGAATGGTTCTGGTTGTCCGACTTGCCGTCTCCGAGAACAGGATTGCCGGACAGCTGGATACGGAACTTCGGTCGTCGCATGCCATTTTCCATGATTTCAGAGTGACCGTCAATGAGTGCCGAGTAGATACGCGGCTCTTCACCTTCAACCAGAGGTGGTTCCTCATCCAGGTACGCAATCTGCAGATCGGGGTATGCTCGGAGCAGGAATTCGGCATTCTCCATCTCTTCCTTCTTGAACTTGGAGTATCGCTGCATCGAGACGACGAGTTTGAACTTACGACGAGCCATGCGCTCCAATTCGCGCTCCAGCTTGTCGGAGTTTCCGCCAAACATCTGAACAACCTCAGGATTCTCAACGCGGTAGAGGAGCTTAATGGCACGGCTGTAGTTCATGAAGCCGGAGATGGTACGATACAGAGTCTGTGAGCGAAGGGACGCCCAGATACGTGTCCTAAGGGTGTATTCTGGAGCAGATGACTTGAAACCGATGCAGTAGAATGGGAGATCGTCAATCTTGCTCTTTGCAGTATCTTTCTCGTTCTTTTCGTAGTCGCCGTTGAATTGCGACGTCTCATCAGCAAGAATCTTGGTATCCTTGACGAAGCAATCCCACTCATGAGGGTGGAGCTGCTTGAGGTACTCCAGGAGTGTGACACGTGAGTAAGGCTCGTCCTCGCGAATGATCTCACGAAGGGACAGGAGGATCTTCTCGCTGTAGTGAGGGATGAGGACGGTGAAAGTCGGCATGTTGTCCACTGGCAAGGGCTCTGGAATGGGGGTGGAGAGAGACTGAGCAAAGAAGGAAATCCGACGCTCGGCCTCACTATGACTTGGGAAGAACTCAGTCTTGAAAGAATGGTCTTCCTGTGACACGAAGAAAGTCGGGGCTCGCAAAGTCCTCTTGCCTTCCTGCTCCGATGGGACCTGATGATAGAGAAGCTTCTGCACATGGTCGATGGCGAGAAGATGTTCCCTGTACATGGAAATGATGATGGCGTTCCAGATCTGGGAGATGAGAACCTTGGGCTTATATTTGATTTCCATATCGGTGGTTGCGAGGACCTTGGAATAGATTCGCTTCGGTAGCCGGGAAAAGATGTTTCTCCAGGGCGTCCAGATCGAGGAGCCGAGGTAGAAAGACCTCGCGATGGAGAAGACGGTGTTGATCAAGACATACCACAGGTACGTGTCCAGGAAGAAGAAGATCACATCGGTGAATATCATCAAACCCATGAGGATCTTGGGCTGGTAGGGACAGAGGTACCGCTTTAGGATGCTGTCGCCTAGACAGCTGCTCACGTCCATGATTGATAGGTACCGGAGAGGGTCACGCAGTGACAGGATCAGGTATCCGTACGAGAACCCAAATTTTGCACCACCAACGACTGCCCAAAGGCCCCATGACATGGCCATGTCATTGCCAGAAAGACGGGGATAGCTGGCGGTAAATGTCTGACTGGCAACATACCTCCTCGAGTTCTTTGTCAGGTAACTGCCGAACAGACCACCAAGGGGCATCACCGAGAAGAAGATGAATGTGATGACAGCGATGAAGAACTGAACGATGCCAAGAATCAGCGCGATCTTTGACTTTTGTTTCTCCTCGAACGCAGCATCGTCAGCGGCGGGCATGAACACGTATACACCGGGGCCCACATTGATGATGAAGATGACGATGAGGAAGAGCAGCTTCTTGGTGAGATGCTGAGCGCCTGCCCATCTCCTCGGGACATACGCCCACTCGGCAAGGGTTGCTAGGATCTGGATCAGCGCAGCGATGCCGCCACCGAATCCAACAATGGACCACTGAGCGGAGGCGGGGGGTTGGTTGTTAACCTGCTGCTCGTAGTGTCTGACCAACAAGGTCGGGGTATTGTGTGCAGTGTAGAACCAGAACATGGTGATATGAAGGATCCAGATACGGTTGAAGTTGACGAGAAGGTGGAACCAGGAACGGGTTTCCTTGTACGTCTTGAAGAAGCATTTCTTCCAGTGGACGTCCTTCAGCTTCAGATAGCGTTCGGCCGGAGGGACATCGACAAGCTTCGACTTGTCCTGGAGCACGAGACGGTCAATGCCCTCGGGATACCAGAACAGTTGGTTGCAATCATCGTAGCCAATGATCTGATTGTGATCCCGTTCGCGACGAACGTAGACTCCATCGAGAATCTCATATCCTTGGTCTCGAACGAACTGGTAGAGGGGAGTAATGACGTTGTTGAGGAATGTGAATTCCTCCACTGGCTCTACCAAGTTCTGGCAGGCAGGTGAGTTCAGATAGTCATCTGCACACTTGAAGATGAAGCAAAGACATTCGGGCATGAAGCGGACCTGATTGGCCTCACCCCAGCAGAGTAGGTATAGCGCAATCTGTCGTACACGATCGTGCTGAGACATACGATTCATGCGAGTCTTCCACCGGTACTCGGCGGCTTCAAGAGAGTCATCGCCCTCGAGATCCTCGAGCATCTCGGCCTCGTTTTGGGGGTCGTTCTTCTTCTTCTTCTTGTTCTTGCGAGTGCGACGCAAGCCCTTTCCTTTGATGTTGGCGAAGCCGACGGCATCATCAAGATCAAGATGGGCTGCAAAATACCACTTTCTGTAGTTTGCGTTGTCTCCGCCAATATAATCGGCGTGAAGCGACAACAGTGCTTGGTTCGGAGTCATGCGTGACGCTCGAGAATCCAATAGCGTCATGAAGTGATCATACATGTTGCGCATGCTATCACGCTGGAAGCCGAACTTGGCAGTAAGGTCGAGAAAAATATCCTCAACCTCCTCCTTTGAGAGGGGGATCTGGGCATCTGATGTCCAGGCAGGGTAGGGCTCGCGGGAGCGCTGGCCAGCGGGTAGCACATTGCCATAGTCCATGCCATAATTCGGGGTGGAGGCACCCGAGGACCGGTTGCCGCCATACGAGATCTGGGAGGATGGTGGGCGATATCCCCTGCCTCCCATCTGGCCTTCATTATAGCTATTGTAGCGCTCGTCGCCTCTGCCATAGTAATCCATGTCAGCGGCGCGTGCCATGTCAGACCTCATGGTAAAATCACTGAAAGTCTCTGAGTCTTCCTCAGAGCCTCCCCGGTGACGGCCGTTGTTTCCGTAGCCACCTTGATCGTAGCCCTGGTCATAGTACCCATTATTGTTGTTATAATAATCGTCTTGGTACTGATCATGGCCATCGTAATAGCCACCATCCTGATGGTACGGGTTGTTTGGGTCCGCATTGTAGTAGCCACTAGAAAACAGGCAAAGCGTTAGCGGGCAAATGAGACAGGTCTGGAAGCGAACAGAAGGGGGACATACGACTCGTCATAATAACCATCACCAGCGTGCCCACCGCCGTTCTGGTGACCGCCGTGGGCATCATAGCCATTGTCGTAGTACTGACGCTGGTCGTCCTGGTAGTAGGAATCTGTGTTCCCTTGCTGCTGTTGTTGATGATGGCCATAGCCATCATCGTAGTCGTGGTGTCCTCCCGGATACCCCGACATGATGAATGAGTTGGTAAGACGACGTCTGTGAGGAAGACGGACGCGTTAGCATTTGTCCGGGGACGAATTGAGGGAGGTAGGGAGGGAGGGGGCTGCGGCATAGCAGATGAAACGCAGAAGCAGAACTCACCAATCACAGACTCATGGGAGAGGCGTCGAAAGATGGAGCGAGTGGCAGCCAAACAGTGAAAGGACTGTCAGGGCGATGGAAGAGTCGGCGTTGCGATCAAACCGTGTGGCCGGCCACAGCGAGAGAAGATGGATGGATGCTGGAGTATTATCCTTTGTTCCTTGTTTGGGTTTGACGAGGTGCTGAAGAGCAGTGGTGTCTGAGACGTTGTTGACGGGGGGCGGCTGCTGCGTGGGTGTTGTGGGAAAACAGGGAGGGCAGGTACAAAGCGACGGACTGAATGGGGGTGGCGCGGCGCGCGTGGCGTGGCGGAGGTAGAGCAGGTTAGGCTAGGCCTGAGCCAGTGGGTTGGCTTGGAGATAGAATGGGCCTGCGATTCGGGAAGGGAATTCCAACCGCGAATGAAGCGCCCGTGTTCTTCGTGCCTGCAGCCAGCTAACCAGACAATAGATATCTCAGAGATCTCGTTCTCTGAGAAGGCCGTCTGAGCTCCCTCTTATATCTTGCTTCTTTTCTGAAACCAACCGGCGATGCAGTGCAGTGCAGTGCAGTGCAGTGCCTTTGTTGCTCTTGGCCACGATGTTGCAGCGAAAAAGGGAGGCACGTCACTGCAGCAGGCCAAAGGAATGCCAGCCAACAGGAGAGGATCCGGGTTCCAATCGAGCCACTCCCACCTGCAACGAGATCGACTTCCAACGAGCGAGGGACTATTCGGGGCTCCTCGAACAAACGGATGCGCGAAGAGACGCCTGGTGAAGAGCAGCCAGGAAAAGCGAGCGTAGGTCGGGTAGGTAGGAAAGGTGAGGACAAAGTGCAGGACAGGAGAAAGAGAATTAAAGGAAGGGGGAGAGGAAGGAAGCAGCAGGTTGGCTGCCAGGTTTGGGTTTCGGGACAGAAGAGGAAAAAAAGGGGAAGCCGGGGGGGGGGGCTAAAGCAGGGAAAGGGAGCCAGCAGACACTTCAGCTTCCGTTGAGTGCGAGATGAGTACTGTACCTGCTTCGGCCTCCCAGCCCAGGTACCCGCTCTCTCTACCGTGCCCACGCAGTACCTAGGTATCTACTAGAGTACCCTAACTCAACAGCTCAGGCACTTTATCAGGTGCAGTAGGTAGGCAGTAGGTCTGTCGAATGTATACCGTGCCACTTTACGCTGCGTCGGGGGAGCGACATCTCTCACCGTCGCAAAGGCGCTTGCCCTGTAAGGTACCTACCCACCTACTCACTGATCTGAGCAGAAGGCCGCCAACCTGAATTGGAATGGTGAAGCCCACCCTAGCCCACTCGCCTCGCACATCAGAGCGAGCGTCTCGACGGAGCACGCCAGAACACTAACACTCAGTACTTTATCTACGCCTCGACTTTGCGCCCTTCAAAGAGTCACTTTGTCAGGCTCCTTAAACCGAGGAAGATCAGGCAAAAGGAGGTGCCCCTGGGGGCCGGCGATTGTGGCTGAGATCCATGTACTGCGTCTAGGTAGTGTGTGGGCTTTAGAAGCCTCTATCCAAGCAACACCTCTTACTGCGTAACCAGTCGAGAGGCCCTCAGGGCACTTTTTCTCTCACTGGACTGGCAAGTAGCCACCTCCAGTTGTGAAGGCACGACTCGCGACGTTTGAGGCCATGAACGGTCGGGCGGGCCTTACTTGGGCAGCCCGCCGTCTCGTCTCGCGGTGAGCGCCAGAAGCAGATTTAGCGAGCCGGTTCGATCAGAAAACGGAATTGGAGGCTTTCTGACCCAGTCGACAGGCAGATATCTACATAGTACCTACTCAGGCATGTGCTGCTAGGTAACCGTAGGTGCCGCCATGCCCGCCCGGCGTGTTACCTGACCTTACGGCGTCTTCTCCAACATGCATTTCTTTCACTAGTGTTAGGGAAGACTATCCGCCTGCATACCGACCTTTCTGTTCTGTTCTGTTCTGTCCTGTCCTGTCCTGTCCTGTCCTGTCCTGTCCTGTCCTGTCCTGTCCTGTCCTGTCTGGGCCTTCCAAGTTAACCCTACATCAGTTAGGAAGACTGAAGAGTGCAGGTCTGGTGGCGAACCCGTTTATCCCCCTGACTTTTCGGCCCTAACCTGAACGTTTGCTCTAGCGTGATGATAGCCGCTCGCCTTAGTGTACTACGTGTAGCACCCACGGTGACCTACCTTAGGTAGTTGCCAGCATTGTGCCTATCGGCCTTAGGTAGGTAGGTACCCCCGGCACCGTACCTTACTTGCAAGAATAGCACACTTTTAGCGCCTCTATTAGGGGCTGAACAGTGAGCAATACTATGCAGTAGAGCGCCAGAAACTGAGTCGAGGTGTTACTGCATAGCTGGTACCTGTAGGTGTGATAAACGGAGCGTTGTGCCCCACATGCTACGCGCGTCAGATGGAGCGGGATAAGAGCATGTACCGGCCTTCACACTGTACACCTGCATACTCAGGTAGGCATGCCGCACCGTACCGAGCTCACTGCGCACCTCGCTGGTAGTCTGCTACCTCCTGCACAGGTTTGCTACCCGCCTCCCGGAGCCCCGGAGCCCCTGAGACCACTCCACTCACTCACTCACAAATCCTGCACGGGCCCCACCCATGGGACCCAGGGGAGCAATTGCTAATCAAAGCTTGAAGAAGAAGCTTGCAGGCTTGGTTTCGGCACCATGACGATGTTGCTCTCCGGAGCGAGGAAAAAAAATCAGGTTTGAAGTGCCGGTCAATTTACCTTAGTCTCGACCATTATGCATGAATCGCCCGGCCTCTAATCACTTACTATGCAGTACCAGCCGCCCAACTACCTACTGTACCTAGGTAGGTAGGCAGGTAGGGTGAATAGCTCACCTGAGCTGCTAAGATACCTAAGACACAGGTAGTGCATTTACTTAATACAGCACTGCTTTGCTCGGAGCGGACGGACGGCTCACAGTGATCGCTCAATTCACGCCTCAGTTGACTAGCTAGACTACGTAGGATGACAGGCAGTACAATACCTCAGATAAATTGGCAAGACTGGTGATGCGGGCCATGGTAATTGTCGAATCTCAACATGGTTCTGCATATACAGTGAGTCGATGAGGCTACTCACCCTTGTCGAGCACCCCCTACGTCACCACAGGCGCATCGCCAGACCAGGCCATGCAACTGACCAGCTTAATACTACCCTATACCGTCCATTACAGCGGTGCTTGGGAGTTGAATAGAATAAGCCACCTACCTCTTTTCTTTCAGTGGGAGGATGCTCCTTGCAGGCTTCGATCCCGCATATTCGAGTGGCGCCTCGTAACCGTGCTAGGTTAGGGAACTCGAGAAGATGCATCAAATCTCCTCGAATCAAACAAGGAGACTGAGGGGGCCTCAGATCGTGGGCCACGTGAAGCTGCACTGACACGAGGCTGTCTACAGTGACAAGTGGCACTGGACTTCTATTTTTACTGCCACCTACTAAGGACAGATTGAGGCCAAGATCATCCTTCCAGAGGACGAACCCCTGCCTCCCGCACTGTGTTCGGGTCCCCGGGCCAAGGCAGTGATCTCGATGTCTATGTCTACTGGTGATCCTCCGCTTGCGGGTAATTCGCCCCCTAATAAAACCGAGATAGGATGTGTTTTGGCATGTTTCCCTGGCTCCCTACAGACGGCGGCCACAGGCAAGGTGGGGGAGTCGTTGCGATTCCCTACTGAGCCTACCTTGCAGGCCTTCCGTCCTTACCCTAGACATGCGTGAAGAATGCTCGCTACCTAAAGAAAGGTCATGGTGTTGTATCAGACGCCGTGTCGCGTTCCAAGAATGCTATACTCCACTTTAATTGACTCGAAGCCCCCGGGATCCCATCAAGTAGACACGTTAAATGCAGATGCTCAGTTATCAGCTGTAGCAGGAGTTTCCCTTTCTCTCTAGAGCACATTACCGAGTATTCTATGCCATACGAACAAGAGCGAGTTGCATGCGTCTACCGACTACCACCCATAGTTGGAAGAGAGAGGTAGAGAGATCTCACCAGACCGTACTGGTGACACAACCAATCGCGTAGTAGGAATAGAGAGGCAAAATCTCGAAATAGCCGTGGTGTATGCGCTTTTCGCCGATCTGCTCTTCCAAAGAACCGGCATGTGATGCTCCCAATGAGTTGTGTGGCAATGGACTATCTGCTTCCTCGCATGACAGTCGTTGTTGTCTCTGCATCTGGCAAAAGTCGCCATCTCCATCGCTGTGCCCACCAGATATCGCTCGATTCACTCCGACTAACCCTGTGCCGTCACGGCCAGACAACGTAAGGGAAAAGCGACAGGTAAAATGCGATGCTGCAGGGGCTTGATACATGTGTTGGCCCGGCACTCTCGTTTGGACAGACGGACAGACAGACAGAAAGATGTTCACTGAATCACTTGCGTGCCTAGTTGAGTGTTTACCCAGGAGGTTTTGCCTCAATAAGTCAACAGGATCGTAACCAAGTGACAGCGTCCGCCCTGCAACGTCGTTCGATCATTATCAACCCAAAAGGTTGGAAATGACAACTTAGGCGAGGTTTGAGACCAGTTTATGTATCCCTCCCACTAGCATCTCTGAACGAGACTCTAGAAGCGGCTTGCTCTGCATTGTGGCAGAGATGCCCAATTCAAGTAAATCTTCCTGCCTTTGCTTTTGTTAGTCGGACCTTGAGGTAATATGAGACGATGCAAGCTTAGCGCCACAACTTCTGGGGCGTCGGAGAGGGCCAGTCCCGCAAGTCTCGTGCTTTTCTTGTCGGACCAAAAAGGCTTCATCTAAGTCCGGAAACGTCAGTCGAGATATGTGTCAACCCACTCGCCGGGTTACAAGGACTGTAGCTATTTGATTGAGCAAGAAGAAGTAGGTAGGCAAGCTTATCGAGAGTTTTCTCGAGACCTCTTACGTGCCGATAGAGGAGAGGAAGATACATATCTCTCGATGCGAAAGCGTGGCATGAGATGCACCTTTGCAGTCCACCAGTAACGCAACAAACCCGCGTTCCCAATGGACCGCGCACTTGCCGCCTCAAAATGCGTGTTCTGCTGTATTTGCTTGTATTTACTCTGCAACATATGGATGATGCTTTAACCTTGGGTGGGGTTGTCGTAGTGTGAGGTATTGTAGATAGGTACACCCGCCGTTGCCCACAGCAACCAGCATCTTATTGACGCCATTGAGTCCTCGCCAAAACCTTCAACAATCACCCTAGCCACCAGCAATGATCACACCCACGGGTGGGATGACACACACAAAGTACCCCTATTTGCATCATCCATACACAGCATCTACATAACGTAGAAGTGATGGCAAGACAGACAGTTTTCGATGACTCGAGCGACGATGAATTCCCCGAAATACAGGCTCTAGGCGTTCGGAATGAGAGGAGGTCCCAGCTCGAAGTCGCCTCTACACAAGCGAGCCAGAGCGTCTCAGGCGAGGGATCACCAGTCAAGTCGACCATACGTCGGAGGAAGCTTGCACAGATTACCGACAATGCATTGTTACGTCCGTGGAGCGAACATGGAAGGCCAGCTGGAGAGGATAAGCCGGCTCTCAAGGAGAACGAGCAATCGAAACCCCGAGTTCAGCTAAGAAAGCGAGTAGAGAGGCAAATCGTTAGAGAAATCGAAGTCACGGACCAGTCTTCTGGTGAAGATTTTTCCATCAATGGGTTTTCCGAGGATGATTCTTCGGCGTTTCATACCGCATTGGAGTCCGAACTAGACGAGGACGACTCTTTTACACAAGTACATTCGGTAAAGTCCCCAGAGAAATCTCTCTTGCGGGGAAAGGGAAAGACGGTTCCTGCTTTCAAATCACTACAACCAGGAAAGGAGCCACACATAATCCAGCGGTCGAATAGAGCGCCGCCAAGAAGCCATACGAAGCCGCCATCAAAACCGCTGAAGGGAGTTCTCGAGGGGAGGAGGAAGCAGTCTTCAAGCCAGAAAGATTGTGCTCTCGAGACTCGCCAGTTGAAGCCTGTACAACAACAGTCATCTGAGAATAGCTTAACGGGAGCATTCTCCAAGCTGCAGACGTCAGTCCAGAAGCATCCTGACTTGTTCACAAATATCTCTCTAACATAGCACCAGTAGCGAGTTCGAAGATCCCCGAGCCGGACAACATCCAACTAAAGACCGTCCCGTCACGCCACCAGCTACCCCGCCTAAAGCACGAGCTGGGGGTTTGGTCTCTCCGAGGAAGCTATCACGAATTCCAATGACCCCACATAGACCGAGTACGGACACGTTCTGGAATCAAGAGTTCGTGGATGAGTGGAACGACGAGCATTCGCCGAAAAAGACTCTCTGGCTCCCTGAGGTCAACAAGAGTCCGTTGAAGAAATCTCCAAGCAAGAAAGCGAGCGCAGACAGAGCTGCACGGAAAGTATTCGAAAGAGCAAAGCATGTGTTGGCAGCGGATTTTCTACAAGAACTAGACCAAATCGTCACCAATGGACAACTACAGAAGCTTGCAGATTCCACGGGCGGAATCAAGATACAGTGGACTAACAAGTTGAACACCACCGCGGGCCGAGCCAACTGGAAACGGGAAACAATCAAAACTAAACCAAGCACCGGGGACGAGGTAGTCACAAAGCACCGACACCATGCGTCCATCGAACTCGCCGAGAAGGTGATTGATGATGAGCATCGTTTACTAAATGTCATAGCACACGAGTTCTGTCATCTTGCAAACTTCATGATCAGCGGTGTAACAGCCAACCCGCATGGCAAGGAGTTCAAGGCGTGGGCATCTAAATGCTCTCGGTCGTTTGGCCATCGCGGTATCGAGGTCACTACGAAGCACACATACGACATCGATTTCAAATACATCTGGGAGTGCGCGGATTGCAGCATGGAATTCAAACGGCATTCAAAGAGTATCAACCCGGAGCGTCATCGATGTGGCTGCTGCAAAGGCGAGCTGAAACAAACAAAACCTGTCCCTCGGGCGACCGCAAAGGCGTCCGAGTACCAAAACTTCATGCGAGCGCAGATGAAGATCGTGAAAGAGCAGAATCCCACAAGCCCTCAGAAGGATATCCTGAGGATTGTGGCTGACAAATGGTCGCGCAAGGACAAATTGCATATCGATAATGACCAGGATGCGAAGATCAACAGTGTTGCAGATGTGCTAGATCAACTAACCCTAGAAGACAAGCACTGAGGAAAGAATGAGAGAGCGCACAGCCGAATGTCAGGGTGCTTTATCAATAGACGAACCTCAGCTTTCTTCGCAAGAGCTTTGCAGCCTATTTTAACAGAGCTGTGTTAAATAGGAGGGCCAGTAATAATATCCACAACCATATACCCGGTATGGTCGCAATATTCCAAATTCAACGCCATTGCCATAATGCCTATTGAAATTGTGAAGCAAAAATCGAAAGCCCTAGTTGCCATACAGGAAATAAAGCTCCATTGTTGGATCAGACTTCGTTGAAAAGATTCCAGTCCTTCACCTGAAATGTATCCCAGATCCTCGCAGCGTATTCTACCGCGTCCCCGATCAGCTGGCCCTGCTTGCCAAGCTCTAGATCGATTTCTTCCTCGTCATATTCGCCCTTGATGTGAGGTACATTAATGGTGATGAGGATGTCAGTTAATTCCTTCTCCAAGCGCAGTAGGGTGAGGATGATGGCTGTGAAGTCGGGCGCGGCAGACTTGGACTGGGACGGGTCTACAGGTGGTGTCTGGGTTGCGATCAGAGTGTACGCAGGTATATCGTAACTGTGGAATCAGGGCCGGCTTGTTAGCATTCTTGACCAAGAGCTGCAGTGGGGGGTGTGAGGCCGGTCAACCTACTCTAGGCGCGAGAATTGAGTCTCGGTGGTGTTCCAGACCTTGACGGTATCGACATCAGTCCCGACAAGCTCCTCGAGGTGTGTGGTCATGGCCCTGCCATCAATCTCTGGCGTACTGCCGGCTGGGCCAACACGCTCAGTGATGTCAAAGATGATGCTGGTAAAGCCCTCTTTGTCGATGTAGACTTCCTGGTTGTCGGGAACTTGACGCAGTTTGCTGTTCAACATTCTGATATTAGCCACGCCCCCAAGTGTCAGACGCATGCCGTCGTCAGTGCACAGGGTGGCCTGATGCAGAGACAGACAGCCACTGCGACATGTTTCCAGAGCATTGCGCATCAATCATACCTGACATCCGCGAACTTCTCGGGCAAGTCGCAAACCAGAGCCCCGCCAAACAGCGGGGTACTCAGATAGGTCGTCATTGCTGGCGCAGTGGTTGGGTTGCAAAACGAGGCCAATGTAATGTTGTTCCTGTGTGTATGAATAGACGATGGGTGATCAGATTCGGTCGAGCCAGAGACAAATGATGTGGCCGGGCAAGACTAGGAAGACAGAATAACAGCCTCGCGCAGACTTGGAGGTTTAGGGGGACTGACTGGGCCACGTCAAAGCAGCAAGGCGGGATCAGCGACACAACCTGGAAGACAGGCAACAGGTTGCGGGGCTCACCTGCACCACTGCTAACCGTCATTATAGGTACAGAAGAATCATCCTCTAAAATCGCTTTCTCCAGTAAACTCGCACAGATTGGTGTCTAATGGATGTAAAGATGGCTTCATTGGCAGATTGACAGATTGATAGATGATCTGCTCGGGAGACAGATAGAGAGACCCCAAACGGTAGTAGAGACATACAATACCCAGGTTCTTACCTGGGTCCTTACCTGGTCGTATTTGCATGAGTTGGGTACCCAGGTATCTAGGTAACCTTTACGTGGCGAAGCTGCCGATGGTATAGTATTTCACCACAATCGAGGCAGGAGAAAGACTAAATATAACAGAAACCGACAAATAATAATCTTTTAATAAAAGAGAAAAAGGAAGAAGATATGTAATGTCGCACACAGGCTGCGACTAATCAAGGGGAAAGGTGGGAAAGTGGAAAAAAAAAAAAAAAAAAATTAAACAAGAATCTGGCAAAAGAGAGAATTGAATCTGGGGTTTCCAGAAGAGGGTTTGCCAAAGATTGAGGGAATGGAGTTTTTTGGGTCATCCCACGGTCACATCTGGTAAAAGGCAAGAGGTGAGTTCGATAGGGAGATCCCACTCCAGCTAGATTTTGGTCAATTTTAGCCTTATATACCCTGTTCTTTGAGCCCGGAGAGTGCTGCCTCCTCATTGGCTTGTAAGCTCCTTTGCCCCGCCCCCGTACAAGCCGTGCCCCTCATATCGAGTTCCACATAACTACTGCGTAGAACGACTTGCATAAGAAGCTCCACTAGCATTCGCTTCGTAGATACTTCGGGATTGTACCGAACCTCACGCTCAAAGGTCTGACGACTGAAACGCACCTATCTACAACCTTTACTTTACCATATCCTCTTTACCGACCAGCTTCGTCCCTCAAGCCTTACCGACTTAGGCTTACTTTACCTCATGTCCAGCAGAATGGCGGCGTCGTGCATCTTCTGCAAGATCATCAAGGGTGCGCATGGGCATCTCATAGAACCTCCATGACATGACTGAAGCACAGTGTGGTCGGATCGATGCTGACAGCGGCTTCACAGGAGAGATTCCCTGCTTCAAGCTCTATGAGAGTGACAAGACGCTCGCGTTCTTGGACATCAACCCCCTGAGCCGTGGCCACGCAGTCAGTATCAACCTCCTCCCGCATCCTGTCTCGTAAGCGGGTATGCTCACGATAATCAAACAGTTGGTGATCCCCAAGTTCCATGGCGAGAAACTGGCCGACATCCCCGACGACCACTTGAGCGAGGTCCTAGTATGTGCTCGTGGCCACCTCATCTTTCAACATATACTATGACGCCATGTACTGATTTTTGTTCTTAATCGTCAGCCCGTTGCGAAGAAGCTTGTGCAAGCTACTGGGGCTGTAGACTACAACATCCTCCAAAACAACGGCACGATTGCTCATCAGGTAGTCCCGCATGTAAGCTCATTAATGTCCCCAATGATTGGCATATTTGTCACTTCAAAGGATCATGAATATGTGCTGACCTGAACGGTTAGGTTCACTTCCATATGGTACGAGCTACGTTACTACGACTCATGCTGTGAAACTTGTCTTGCTGATTTGTAACCTGTAGATACCCAAGCCAAACGAGACCGAAGGACTCGGTATCGGCTGGCCGCAGCAAGCCACCGACATGGATAAACTGAAGGCTCTCTTCGAGGACATCAAGTCAAAAATGTAACAAAACGAACAAGCGTGACTACTTTGGCTGGGGTTAGAGGGGGGAGGTCAAGCCTGACTACGAATGTGAGATAGTAGGGGCTAACAAACCTTTGAAATCTTCCCTGCCCGTCGTGTCTCCCTGAGTAAGCGATGAAAGGTCATCATGGTTGAACAGGCTGGCCTAGATCATGGCGAGTCATTGATTTGCGGCACACAAATCTATTTATCTATCAATCAACATCGTCCGCCGATGTTGTCGGTGCTGCCGCAGCTATCCCGTTTGCCTTGCTGGCTGTTTGCTCCGGGTAAGGAACCACTGTGCCACCCTTGATAACCCCGATTCTATCGTAAAAGGACCGCGCACGAAGGTAGGGATCGAGAGTCCAGTAGTCATCGCGGAGTTTGTCAGCGACCGCCTCACGTTTAGCCCTTATGGCAGCGGTCTTTTCGCTCGCGGGATGCCGTATCCATTGCAATGTAGCCTCCTCAAACTCCTTGACCACGAGCTCCCTCGCCGCGAGAAGGCGATCGCGAGTGGCTGTGTCCTTCAACTTGTCATTCTCGCCGGCAACGGGCTCAACATAGCTGTATGACCAGTCCTCTTGACCTTCGAGCTCCTTAATTATACGATCCGGTGCAATGAACTCCGCCATATCCTTCATGTTGTTCGTGAAGTGAACCTTGCTCGCAACCACGGGATCCAGCCAACCCCGGATGATCTTCCAAATACCTAGAAACTCGTTAGTCGGGGATCAGCGGCTCGATATTAAGAACAAACCTTGGAAGATCCACGGTGCTTTGTGTACAAGCACCGAACCCAAGCTCTCAGGATAGTTTGCCTCGAAGCACTTGATCATGAACTTCACGGGAGTGTAGTCCTGGAGAAGATTTAGCAGATAAGAAGAGACATCATGCCCTGCGCCATCTAGGACAAAGAGCATATTGAATGCGAACCTACCATGTTTGCCATCGAAAACCCAGTCATATCAAAAATAATAGTCTAGCAAGCTTGATCAGCCCTGTGGGGAGAGACATAGGAAGGCGGGAGGTGGGAATAGTAGTCGGACTTACGGCAGTGTCTACAGGCGGTCTCAGCAGCATTCTTGCCGTCTCAATGATGTAGACGGTATATCTCTCCAAGCTCTCCTCGCACTGCTCTCCTTGGTGATGAAGGCGCACTCTGACCACGCAGATTGGCCTACCGGTTTTGTCTACACCATGCAAAAAACTCTTGCCCATGCGGATCTGAGACATGAAGTCGTGGCCGAGCTTCTTAGCCTCCCCTTCGCCAGAATTCTCAGCCTCCACGGCGGCCCCCTCCCCATTCTTCATGATGTCATCGTCCACATGCATGTCCTTTGAGCGCCAGCTCATGGTAGAAACAAGCATGACAAGAGCCTTCTCAATGTCCCATTTCCTAGCACGGAGGAAGCGGAGAACAAGGGCGTCAGGGTGGTCGTGCTTGACCATGCTCCAAATGGTAGCCCGAATCGTCTCGGGAGACTGGCTGGCCAATGTGTCAAAGAAGTGCTTCGTTTGACCGTACTTGTCATCCTCGCCTTCCTTGGGCGTCAGTGCGCCGCTCGCAGGCACGGAGCTGACTGATTCCGCATCCGTGTCTTTGTTGCCTTTCCTAGAGAACATGCCCAGTCTCTTCTTCTTCGGTTTCTCCGACTTGCCCAGGTCCGACTTCTGGGGCCCCTTCTCAGCGACTGTGCTGGGATTGGTGTTTTCCGCAGCATCGCTGTCGTCATCGCTGACACCACAGACTTGAAATATCGCAGCCCACAGTTTTCTCAACTTCTCCTCTTGTTCTGGAGTGAGGTTCCCCGGCCGTCCCGGTGGTATCTCGGCTGCCATGTCCAGGGGTTCGGCGGCGGGTAGCTTATCGACAAGATTGGACCTAGCCTCGGTATTCTGTGAAAGGTGCAAGGTAGTGCCAGCAACACCGACGAGGGAGACGAGGGACAGTAGGAGGAGGACGAGGGTCTGGCGGCTTTGCGTGGGGTCGCGTGACGTGCTATAACGGGCTGGCGCCGCCCGGATGACGCGCCGGGGATCGGCCGCACGAGGCGACGAAGGTGAAGAGAGATGTTGGTGAGATTGCCGGGCTGTAATGTAGGGCGTGCAGCGAGCAGGTCGCAGAAGGGCGCGCGGGTGAAAGCGCAGGTGCACGGGGCTAGACGTGAGGCGATTGTGCTGAGGCCAGTGACGAACGGAGGGAACGCTTGGAAGGCTCCGGCCAAGTTGTATGCGCTCTAGACGGCCCAGGGCTGACAGTCCTCGCATGAGGAAGCAGGAGACGAGAGAATGCACAAGAGGGTGCGTGTAGAGCTGCCAGATGCTGCGGTGCGCAAGGAGGTTCGTCTCCTTGGGGTCGGACAGGACGGGGAGGCGCAGCAGCAGCGGTCTACCTACCTACCTACCTAGGTGCCTACCTAGGTACCTACCTCAGCAAGCCTACAGCCCAGAGGAATACATCATCTACCCGCCACAGTACGGTTATGCAGGTAAGGTCACCTAGCTACCTACAAATGGCGAGTAGTACGCGGGCAGGCTAAGCGTAGGAGCCGGGCTAGGACACACCACATAAGCTCAGCTAAGGTAGGTATCTACCTAGGTAGGCTCGGTAGGTACGACAAGCAGCAAATATCTGCAGGCCTGCACTGTCCTTCTCAGCATGTACGTACCTATAGGCACAGGTGTCGGAGACAGCGGTGCCCGGGCTCCCGGTCGTAACGCGGGGTACTTAACAGATGCTTCAAAGAGGTATCGCGGTTGAGGAGCTAGCTACTCAGCCTTACTTGGGTCAGGGGTCACACCTCCTAGAAGACTTATGGCCTTAGCTGTATTCCGAGTTGGCTAGATGAAGAAATCCAATTTCATAAGCTTCATGAAGAATTTGCCAGCGGACTTGAGATATCTAAGAGATTGCGTATACGAGAGAACACCAACTGCAAGCCGATATGCATCCCTCCACATCACCTATAAGTGCAATGTTGAGAACAACCTATGCCTCTGGAGCCGCAATACACTGCTGATTCGTATACCTGCCTAGGTACCTAGGTAGCCAATCCCAAAGCAGAGGGGTGCAGTCAGGTATCTATCTTACAAGTTTTATCATGATCCAAAACACTGCCAGGCAAAAGTATCGTACTTACCTACTGTCCTGATGGCACTGAAGAACGACAGTAATCTTATCTACTATGTAGAACCCAGGTACGGTACAGTACAGTAGGTACGATGGGCTGAGGACCATGTCCGCTCGTATCCGGATCTTCCGAGGCCTCCGTCAAGCCCCTTGAGGTAGAGCTCACATTTTGGTCGACTAATCAATTACCGCTACTTAGCTGACTCCTGTGCCTATATCTTACCTCCAGGTAATTTACGGATGTGAAGATTACTAACTAATCGAGGAATTTGCTTCTATTTTCCGTGCCTGAATATAGAGACAGTTGGGATTGTTAGCTATCTAGGTAGTACTTAGGTACCTACCTAGGTACCTACAGGTCAGGTACCTTAGGGCGCACAATGTCCAGGACTGAGAGTGTGGCGAGGCCGTATCAGAGGATGAATATCAATGATGGCTTGCACAAAGAGCGTTATCATCGCCAGCCCGTCCGGTGGAATACGCGCATCTACCCGCTCCCGCTTCCCTTCCCGCTGCCAATCGATTGATCACTCGGTCAATCAATCAGTTCTAGGCGGCCTGGATAGACGCTGAACACCCATTGACTCAGGTAGCCTGGAAGCCAGAAAATGATGTTGCCCTCCTTGGACGGTGGGGAAAAGGACACTGGCTCCGACCACATGCTGAAAGTATCTACCTAGGTATTTAAGGTAGGTAGGTACAGTACCTGGGCCAGAGAGTTAAAGAGCCCTTTAACAAGCCTGTGGGCGTCTCGACCCCTGGCCGCAGGGAGGACCACACTACCTAGGTACCTGACCACCACCTGTATAGAGACTAGGTACTAACTAAGGACATGTCCTATTACGGGTAGGTAGCTGTAATTTAGCTGAGCTCAGGTACCTACCTACCTAGGGATGCAGTAATGTAGAGGTAGACCAACAACGCGAGCGAACCGCGTCCCTTTGGCGGGGTGATGCTGTTTACTTGCCCACCACCACCACCACCACCACCAACAACACCGTAGGCTTCGCCGAATCGTCCATCAATCGATCACCGTCCGTCACCAAAGGCGCCTGGAACGAACAATGTCCTCGGCGGCCGACGTCCCCGCGCCCGAGTCTGCTCGGAAGCGCTCGACCTCGCGATCTAGAACCTCACGCCCAACCACGCCCCTCCGCCCCTCATCGCGCTCCTCCTTCCGCGAGTCGGCCAAGGCCAGCACTGGCGGCGAGGCGTCCTTCCCTCTCAACACCTTCGAGCCCGTCTTCGCCGAGCTGTCCGACGCCATGGCCGACCTCGAGGCCAACTTGATGCATTTTCAGATCATGCACGAGAGCCTGGCCCGCTTCAGTGAGAGCTTCGCCAGCTTCCTCTACGGCCTCAACATGAACGCCTTCTGCGTGGACTTCCCCGAGGTGAGTTCCCGTATACTTGGGGATGGCCGACACTGCCCATCGACCATTCACTGACCACTCGTCGCCGCAGGGGCCTGTTGCCGAATCCTTTCGTAGAGCCAAGCAGCAAGACGAGCACAGCGCAGCGCGAGTCCCCGACAAGTCTACCGGTGAGATGGATGGCGAGACTACTTTCATGTGCGTTGTCACCCTAAATGGTCACCCTGCTCTCAACTGACCCAACAACTAGGACAACCGATACGTCCTTCGTGGAAAATCCGCCACCATCTTCCAAACCGACCCCCAAGTTTCAGACTCCGGAACCCCGAGTATCACGCGTGCCTGCACCGTCAACTCGTGGTGCTGGCCAGCCAAGAGGCACGCGAGGGAGCACCCGCGGAACACGACCCAGTGGGCTAGCCAGACCGAAAGGCCGTGGAATAAGATGAAAGAGCCGTTGTTTTCAGACTTGCTCGTATTTGAGAATAAAGAGTTATCGCGATCCTCGCCAACAAATTGTTCTCAACAAGAAGCATGCCGGCCATGAGACATGCCCCATGTTACGTGTCGTCGCGCAGTATGGACAAGACTTGGATTGACTGGAGAGGCTATATGATGTCTCTATAGGCATTGACGCCTTGGATCACATTCTCATCGAGCCAAACCTACCGGGTTGTCTCCTGACTAATTCTGACGGTCTCACGTTTGGCCAAAAGGAATGCACCCAGACTGGTCACTTCAATAGTATAGGGGAGCTAGCGCTAGAAGTACAAGGAGGATGTGTGGCACGTTCTACTTGTTGAGAGTTGCGCAAAATAGCTTCGAATGAATATCCTAATCACAGAATTTCTTGTGAGAAGTGACACTACCATCTCCCAAACCGTTTCTCATATCGAAGAATCCTATGACATGGTCCAATATGCGTTGTTCTTCAGCAATAAGTAGTAGGTCATCATGTTGGGTTTGTTGGTCTTTCCAATGTTTTATTTCTATCACCCAACTGATGTTTTTCTTTTACCTAATCAGAGCTACGCCCGTTGGCCGTGTGCGTGCGGACTAAAGTTCAGACCCAAGCCATATTGTTCCCCACGTGTCTCACCTTGAGGCACAACATTCCGAGAAGCGACAGCTTGAACTATTCTACTTCTTCTCTGTTTCGAGATTACCTACTCGCGGCTTACGTTTGGAATGACGGCCATGGGCATTATAAGATACGTGGCTAAGACAAAGAAGTCTCAGTCGGCAACCATTCAGTTGATTTGCCATGTTAAGCCAGGCGCAAGCCAGGCTCGTGAGGGTGTGGCCGCCGTCACGAGTGATGCCATAGAGCTCTGCGTCTCTGCTCAAGCTAAAGATGGCGAGGCGAATAAGGCTGTCACAGTATTGCTAAGTAGGGTACGTCAATACGAGAAACCAAATCCAAAAGAGAAAAAAAACCATGCGACATAATGGGCTGACTCTGTTGTCAAGGCACTGGGTGTCGCGAAGTCTGATGTCCAGATTACACATGGCTTGAAATCTAGGGACAAAACCATCTCGGTGACTGGCGCCCTCGCGCAAGGTGATGAGTCGTCCTGCATCACTCGAGTTCGTGACCTCCTCGAGAAGGCAGCCGGAAACGATTGATGGCTCCGATCTTACACAGATGAGGCAAGTCTCCTAGGTGCGGGAAAGCTCCATCGAGAAGTTTAACCTACGTCGAACATCACAGTCAACCATCCGCATGACACCTTCCTCTCAATTCTACAATACAGTCTGGCGGTATCCAAGCCACCGTGGTCGACGACGGAATATGTCACCGATATTCCGAACTGCTGCATTGCAGATTAGAAGCGATTTCCCCATGACATGCTCTACCGGATGCTCTACCGGAATACACGTGCATCGCTGACATTTTCGACATGGAATGTTATCAACGGAGCAGGTCCGGCACGTCAAAGATAACGAAGATGATCGATATGTGTCGTCCATTTATGACCTTGGTCTGACAACGATGTTGCAGCAACTAGAGCCGCCCTACGGATGGCACAGACTATATTGACTAGCCGATCAATCAGACCTTCTACTCTCAGCAGTCGAAATTGAGATATTGGTGATGACACCTTCTATTTTCATACCATCCTTGTGCGGCTTACAGGGTGTCAAGGACCCTGTCGACAGGGATTTCACTAGCCTTTCTGTACCATACGAAGGATGAGAAGCTTCAGAGGACGACCCTGCAAGTTCAAGTAACCGCAAAGGCCCAATACCGGTTCTACGGCCCTTGCGGCAACATCGGCATATCGTCATAATTCTTTGGCTTAGACCGACTTGACACCTCTGTCTCGGTCGTGATGATTTCATTTTGCTTTCGGTACATTTGCAGGTTGATTTCTTACTCGGTACTAATGCGCCCAGTGTGGAAGAACGTCTGGTGTGTTGGTCTTCACCAAGAAAATCTACGTTATTACGCAGCTCTCTGTTCTCGGCGCTGAGTATTCAAACCCGGAGGCGACCAAGTCGTGCCATTCCTCGCCATGGTCCCTATGTCCGCCCGTATGCCGGCCGATACTGCTGACTGCAGCACATCCCGGACCATGTGTATCGGCCAAAGAACACTAAAGGTGAGTCTTCGTTTGTTTGTTGGCCATCGGCGCTATGCCTCTTGTCTTCTTATATCGAGTAGGATCTAACCATTTTTAGTTGCTCGCGGTTTGGGTGACTTCTGTCCCAGCAATTCGTGGTTCCTACATCTCTCACCAATACCCTTGATCGGTCCGAACCAGCAAGCCCCTTGGATAGCTTGTCAACCACTGTTATATCCTGGTTCATAGTTTGGTAGACATTCAATTGACCAAGTACAGAGCCAGTCAGCATCTACGAGAAACTAGGAATCTTTCACACCTGCCTTGTCTCTAATGCGCTATGTATGTCGTAAGTGACCGGAGACTTCTCACCTTCCATTTCGATAGATACTCCACGCCATGTCTCTCGTCTTCAACCCAGGAAATAGCAAGGGCGGCGCAATATAAAGCTGGTCGGGCGACCTGTCCAGTTTACTCAACTGTCGGCTTGGAGTTCCCAGCGATATTGGAATTCTTGCTGAGATGGCCCTAACAAATCACCTCACTATGGTATCCATGCGGCTTTTGGTCGTGCTTTGCTGTTTAAGTGTCACATGGGCTCGAGAGGCAAAACCCATTGAGGGTGCCTTTATCATAAAATTGAATCCTGAAGTTGGTACCAGCGGTGGCCTGTCTCCACGGACCATTGACCAACATGAGCTCTTTCACAAGCGAGCCAGTGATATTGAGTACACCGTTCGGCATGAATTCAAGAATGAGGATGCGTACCTCGGCCTTTCTCTTCGTGTCTCTGGCGTTTTCTCGTCTGATGCAGCCAGAGCACAACTAGAGAACATTCCTGGTGTTCTTTCTGTGTCCCCTGTGTATGAAGTTTACCTGATAAAGCCGCCTGGCAACGTCACAGATGCTCCGGCATTCTCTGCAATGTCTTTTTCTAACCCAGCGCCACTGAACTTTCCAACGGGAACCGGAAATTTAGACGGTGCCCTTGAAATGTCTGGAGTGGACAAGCTTCACAAAATTGGAATTAAGGGCCGTGGTGTTAGAGTTGGCATAATAGATACCGGTGTCGACTATCGGCATCCAGCTCTCGGCGGAGGCTTTGGAAAAGGCCGTAAAATTGCTGGTGGTTATAGCTGGGTTAGCGATAACGGGACTCTTGTGAATACTACCGACCCTCTTGCAACCTGCTATGGCGGTGCGCATGGCAGTCATGTCGCTGGTGAGCAACTCTCGTCGGCTTTCTATAGTTTGCATGCTAAATACACTCGCAGGTATCGTAGGAAGTAAGTAACGATCGACTCTGCCTCTTTGTATGTATGTTTGAGTTCAGATGACGGTAGCCTGCTCTCGGTTTGGACTTTATTTTTCAGATATGCCAAAGAACTCTTTCCAGCCCTTACAACATGGCCTTATCAAGGCAAATGCTGACCTGACTCTATGTAGTGAACCCCCTTGTTCCTCCCCTTGGGCTTCCCCTCAGTGGCGTTGCTCCTGAGGCTTCTCTGTGTAAGTAGTTTCCCGGCTCCTTAATCCCTCCCAAAACATGTCTCTTCTTCCAGTCACTTGTATCGAGATTGAAGAGCTTCTCAGGGAGTAATTATATCAAATTCAAATCCTATGCCTGTGTTGTGCTGGAATAGTAACTGCTGACTCCTTACTTCGAAGACATGTATAGAGTCTTTGATTGCAACACACATAGTCCAGGTAGTGACTACATCCTCGCAGCAATGCTCAAGGCTCTCGAGGATGGCATGGATCTAGTCTCAATGTCTCTTGCGATTGGTCTCCCGCCAATTAACGGTCAGGGCGATCCTTTGGCCGAGGTTACCGATAAGCTATACAAAGCCGGTGTTGGAGTCGTTGTGGCAATGGCGAACAATGGTGTCGGCAGCGCCTATGCGAACAATATGTACACGGAGGAGTGGCCGAGTACTGAGCCTGGTGCGATAGGTGTTGGCGCAGTTGCGAATGCAGAGTTCCCTCTTGTATACGGTGCTTCGGACTCTCGTGGTGCTAAGCTGTCATACGCTTCTGTTTGGCCCATCCCGTTTCAGCAACTCGATGTATACCAAGTGGCTGATGGCTGCTCAGCGGACTCATGGGAAGACGCTGTCACTGCTGTCCAAGCTTCTGGCCAGCTCAACAACACAATATTCGCGTTTGAAGTCAACGACAACTGCCGGCCATCGAGTGCGACCGTCTGCTGCACACGTTTTTCACCAAAATATGTGCTTGGGTATTGGGCCAACACCACTAACGTATACAACATCCCATATAACCTCCCGAACCAGGCACGCATTGGTACTACCCAATTCATTGCCATGGGAATCTCTGATGCCTCTACGTTCACGGCGAATTTGGCTGCTACTTCAGGAAGCGGAAAGTATAAGTTGAAATTCCCCTTGCTGCCTAGCTATTCCAGTCCTGCTCAGACTACCGGCGGAATGGTTGACTACTATTCGTCTTTCGGACCCGTGAGACTCAGGTGCAAGCTCAAACCTCAGATTTCAGCCCCAGGAGGCAACGTGAGTGTTTCCATGAGTTCAATATAGAAATTGCGTGGGCATCTTCATTACAATCAACGATCGAAAACACACACACACACACTGACACAAACGAGGCAGATTCTATCCACTTACCCACTCGGAACTTATGGCGGCTACGGCGTTCTCTCCGGAACGTCCATGGCTACCCCATATATAGCGGGCTGTTACGCATTGGTGAAGTCACAATTTCCCGCAGCGACTCCTGGTGAAATCATCGCACTTCTCCAGACTACAGCAAATCCCATGCCTTGGTGAGCACCCCTTTTCCAGACCTGATGCCCTCCCCGCCCACTTTGAACCTGGGGCAAAGTCTCAATTTTGAGATCCCATTTGATTTCGTTTCATATATCACTGACATCTTTTTATTTGTATGTCTGCCATGGTGACAGTGTGTTAACTTCGGCATCAAAGGATATTCAACCAGACTATGCTCTCTGCAACCCAGCAGCAGGGAGGTGGCCTTGTCAATGTTTTGAAAGCAATCACTGCAAGAAGTCAAGTGAGCCCCGGTGAGATTCTTGCGTCAGATGTATCAAAAACACTTTATGGCGCTGCGAACGTCACAATCACCAACAAATCTCTCAAAACCAAGTCGTACACCTTCTCACACCAAGGTGCTGGTTACATGAATGAGCTATTGCAGTATCGCGAGATCGCGCAACAGCCCAATTATGGTGCAGCCCAATTCTCTCCATCCTCCGTTAAAGTGGCAGCAGGCAAGACAGTACAAGTTGCCGTAAAAATTATACCTCCTACAGATGTCGATCCAGGGAATCGCCCTGTCTTTGGGGGATATATCCAAGGTGAGCGCCTCTGGCTAATACAGCCTGCTATAGTTATGTTTTGGGCATTTCAAACCGAGACTCCAGGCAAAACAGAAGTCACGCTTGAAATGCTTCAAATGCGCCTGTCTTGCTCTTCTGCCATGCTGTCAAGGTAGTCGCTAATTCTAAATGCTGCAGTACACGACGCAGACGGAGAAAATTTTGGTATTCCTTACAGCGGCCCCCCGTTTTCGCTATATAACACAAACTCCATGACAATCGCGCAATCTGGATCGGTCACCATACCTGGTATTTACTATGACCTTCCTACGGGGAGCCGAGTGTGGATCAAAGATTTTCTGGAGGTAAACAACACAATGAAATATGGCTCCTCCGCGAATTACGATCTTTGGACCACAGCTTACCGAATCGACATTCTGCCAGCGAACACCACTATCCAACCAACACACTGGGGATTCGATAATACCACGCAAATAGATTATTTACAGGGAAGTACAATCCCGACTTCGTCGTTTCTGGGCTTCGAGAGTTACGGGGCCCTGAAAACGGTCACTGGACTTCTTTCCCCGGCCAATAATTATAGCCCTTCGGGATACGGTTTATCTGTTACGGACGACAATGGCGCCAAGATTCAGCTCGGTGGCGGGGACTATCGTTGGTTATATTCAGTTCAGCGTTGGGGTGGAGAGCCTGGATTGTTCGAGGACTGGGAAACCTGGCTGGGCCCAGTAATTCGCATGGTGAATGGTCCAGTGTGAGGGGCAACACGGCCTGGGACACAGTTGAGGACTCAATGGAAACAAAGGACAGTCTCTCCGAGATGGCTCAATATATGCCGCTTGATAGGCATTCAGCGGACAGATCGTTTGGAGTACTAGCACAATCTATTATGTCGAATAAAGTCGGCCCAAAGCATGCCATAGAAACGGTTCGATTGGAAAGTATAGAGAGGGCCCAGACATAATATACAGAGGCTATTTACCAAACCCCAACTGCTTTGGTCCGCGAAAGTCGTGGAGGGTAGCATCCCATTTCACAGATTATCAACCCAAGGGTAGCAGCCACTGTAACACTGCGGACAGCAATCATATACACAACGAGGTATACAAGAGATACCGCATAGCGGGAAGTAGTACTGAAGAGCAAGGGCCAGAAAACACTGAGCAACTTTGTTCAATTCTTAGGCATTCCAGTCTATACCGGTGGTACCGGTAGCACCTAGGACCTTATCCGCCACTGAGTGTACCATGTCAGTAAATGTTGGTGGAAACAGTATAGAGACAATAAAAATAACGCCTCGGGGGATGTTTCAAGGGAGGTGTCTCTGAGATCATTCGCCACCGTTGAAATGTGCTTTGAGGCTGGGTATATGGCCATGGGAGACCAGGAATCAAACAAATGTGTTGCTTACTCGAGTCATTTGTTCCGGTATTATCCTTTTCGACATTTACGGACCTGGTATGAGAGCTCAATATTTAATCACCACCCAGAGACAGAATAACGTATTTGGGGAGAGACTGACTTCACTTTACCGTCTTCGATGACAAGAGCGTAACGCTTGCTTCGAACGCCGCCAAAGATCTTTGAGGCATCGAAATCAAGATCAAGGGCCTTTGTGAATTCGGCACTGGGGTCACCGAGAAATCGAAACTGTGGATGTGAGGTTGTTATCAGTTTGATTGTGAATGGAGTGGCAACAACCAGCAAAAGGGCTGGACGGGGATATGCAGGTAATACGTGCGGGACTAGGGCAGTAGTTGTATCCAAAGCCCGCCTGCTCCCCCAAAGCTAGGCTATGATACGGGGCTAGTATAGATTCGACTTACGCCAGTCGTCTTGCCGGGATCAAGCGCCTCACCCCAGGCCTTTGTCACGAAGGCATCATTGACAGCCACCACGAAAACTTGTCCAACGTCCTGGATCCGAGGGTGGGTGATATATGATGGGACATGCGTTTGAGAGCAAGCACCGCCTTTAGACATATATCAGTCAGCGCCATTTCAAGTCCTTGAGTTGTCTGATGAGATACGGGGACAAGGCAATTCTCGCTAAGCCCGCTTGTAACCTAAGCATGAGCTCAGGGGCCAGCGCAGCACAAGGCTTGAGCAGGTGGGGTAGGGTTAGACTCACTGAAGGCACCTGGGACGCCGATGATGAGCCCATTTCCGGACGCAAATTCGCGAGCGAGGTTGACTTTGTTGCCGGGAGAGCCTTCAACGAGGACCTCGAGGTTGGGGATCTCGTCACCAACATTCACAAAAGCAGGTCGGGTTGAGTGGAAATTGCGAGTGGCAGACCGGCCAGCCACGGCAGCAGGTCGAAAACAAGCTCTGAACGCCATCACTTTGGGTTCAGTGTGTCAGGCGTGAATTGTGTTCTGAGGGATTCGAACCGAGATAGCTGTACGCGAAAAGTGCCAGTGGACGGACAGTGTGTCAATTGAGACTGACTGAGGTATGTATAAGAGGTCGTTACTTTTTGAGGTGCGATGGCGTGCGGCTCAACGAGGTTGCTATGACATCACGTCCGAGATACAGAAGGAATGGTCGATAACAGTAACGATCCAGGTGGCTGTCCGTGCACGCACCGCATTCTACGTGAGGCGTACCCATATCATCTATTCAACACGCTCTCATGTATTGAATATTGCGTCTCTTCCACCCTCGCGGGAGATATTCACTTAGGTATTTACATACCGAATAATGGAATTAGGTCAAGTGAGATTCTCAGACAATACACCTAGGCTTGCTTACGAGATATCTACCTACGGTACAGTAGGCACGGCACGCGCTGCTTATGCAGATTATCAAGCACGTGCCCAATCGCAGGCTGGCAAAGGTATGGAGAAAGTGGCCTGCATAATATTGAGAAGCAGGTATTCAAGGTATATATATGTATGCATGGCTGGATGACATACCTCGATATGTCTAGTCTATTCATTACAGAGGCAAGCCCCTGAATTTGCCAGCAGTCCTTCATGTCACGAGTACCAAGGTATCCGACAGCTTTGTAAACAGGTCACGTAGCCAAGGGAGGTCTTCAAAGAGTATTGATGACGGCATCGAATATCAAACACCGAAACAGCATTTTCGGCCAGTGCCCCTTATATTTCTTCTTGCAAAACGTCGGTAACAGCCGACTGGTTTGTATGTGTCTACCACGGAGGAAAACTGAAGTGTTTCTGCGTCCCCACCACCCTGTGCACGCACGATGTCGTTGCAGATAATCTGATAGCTGCATCCTCCTCCCTGCCTCCGTAGGTACTCCCGGTAACGCTTGTAAGTAACCCTTTACCTCAGAGCCCATTAGCTAGGTATATATCAACCGAGACCCAGATATGACAGACTGGCTGAGCATACGATCAAGATGCCCAGAACGCTGGAGTATGACAACTACCTACCCCAGCACGTCCGCCTTGTCCAATAAAAGTAATCAAATTTGAGCTACTTGCTCCAGTCGGGGTCAGTGTGAAGGTTGACACGTACCCAAGCTTACTTGATGCCCAGGCCAAAGTGCAAGCAAGAGCTTTGCTGGTGTGGCAGCCTGGATGGGCAGGTACGGTACCTAAGATAGGTGGGTAGTGGGTGGTGGGTGGGTAGGTGGGTATCCTGCCGCCTATCGTGCCTGCCTTGCCGCAAACTGCACTCAGTGCACTTGATACCCCATCTCTTAACGCCGCCGCCGCCCCGTTACCTCATTGAATCTGACTGTCTGACAAGCAGACAGACAGACAGCCAGACAGGCATGACTGATTGATCTTGGCCGCTATACAAACCTCACGCAGCCCATCTTTCTGTCACCATCACCGTCATCGTCGACGTCGACCCCGTTTCCTCTCCCCTCCGGACGCTGTGTTCTGTGGATTGATTATCAACCCTCGCGTGTCCGACTTCCGACTCGGGTCCATTTTCCATCGCCTCATCTTGTCTCGCCTTGTCTCGTCTCGCCGCCCCCACTCGTCTTCCTTCTCTACTGTAGTCATCGTCCTGTTCGGTCCATCTGCGGCCCCCTTTGGTTGTCGACACCCAACTCAGAACGAACCCCTCCTTGGCAGCCATCTTCCTCCCATCAACACATACATTCACATATACACGCAACACACACGCAAGCTTGGAGTACTGTCTCGATTATTGCCCTTGCGTGCTGTCGGCTCCCGCCTCCCGCCTCCCGCCTCCATCGCCGATCGAGTCCCGGCCTTCGTAGACAGCATCCCGACGCAGCTGCGCGGCTTATACATCCCCTTCTGACCGCCTGCCCACCTCCTCGCTACAGACATCCACTACTCGCCGTGCTTCGTTCTCTTACGACGGGTTGCTACGCATCTCCCTCCGTTCTTCCACCCAGTCGGCATCATTCCTCCCATAACCCGCAAGCGGAAAGCCGCTGAGGCGACGATATCCTCCACAGTCCAAGACTCTGTTCCAAACAAGAGGATCCTCGCCTCAGCAGGCCCTCAGACAGCCGCACCGCCCACTCCGGTCACCAACACCTCCGTCGGCATGGATTCGGACGACGACTTCATGTCCGCTGTCTCTAGCGAGGATGACGTCCTCCAAGATGACAGTGACAATGACATGTCGGGAGCCGAAGGTCTGTCTTTGCCTCCCCCTACTTCCCTTGGCTATAGAGCGGTCGCATCACTATTACATGGCATCTACCCTTCTCCACGAGCAGAACAGACTGTACTAACCAGTTTCTTCCAGACTTCGATTTCGACGATGAACCCGATCCAGATCTCGGTTTGCAGAAAGACTTCACCCAAAAGAAAAGAGTTGCTTACGACATCAACTACAAAGTCTACCAACCTGCGGATATCCAGAAACAGCAAGACGATCTGATCAGCGAGGTCAACATGATCTTAGACATTCGAAAGGAGGACGCCGCCATACTGCTTCGCCATTTCCGCTGGAACAAGGAGCGTCTGATCGAGAACTACATGGATAGACCAAGATATGTTCTAGAAGTAGCCGGACTTGGTTCCAGTTCTTCCGAGTTGGCCCACCTTGAGGCGATTCCGGGCTTCGTTTGTGACATCTGTTGCGAGGACGAGGAGGGACTTCAGTCATTTGCCATGAAGTGTGGCCATAGATATTGTGTCAATTGCTATCGGCATTATCTTACGCAGAAGATCCGCGAGGAGGGCGAGGCGGCACGCATTCAGTGCCCCTCCGACGGGTGCCCACGCATCATCGATGCTCGTTCTTTAGATCTTCTTGTTACGCCTGCACTCGCGGAGCGCTATCATCAGCTGCTGAACCGGACGTACGTTGAGGATAAGGATACGCTCAAGTGGTGTCCCGCTCCAGACTGTGAGAATGCCGTCGAATGCGCCGTCAAGAAGAAGGATCTAGATCGGGTCGTCCCTACAGTTGCATGTGCCTGTGGCCACCGGTTCTGTTTCGGCTGTATCCTCAATGATCATCAGCCCGCACCGTGCGAGCTGGTCAAGCGATGGTTGAAGAAGTGCGCAGATGACAGCGAGACTGCAAATTGGATCTCCGCAAACACCAAGGAGTGTCCCAAGTGCAATTCCACAATCGAGAAGAATGGCGGCTGCAACCATATGACGTGCCGCAAGTGCAAGCATGAGTTTTGCTGGATGTGCATGGGGTTGTGGTCTGAGCACGGGACAAGTTGGTACAATTGCAACAGATTTGAGGAGAAGAGCGGCACCGAAGCCCGGGATGCTCAGGCCCGTTCTCGCGTGTCTCTGGAGAGATATCTGCATTACTACAATAGATACGCGAATCACGAGCAGTCTGCTCGCCTCGACAAGGATATATACCAGAAAACAGAGAAGAAGATGGTACAGCTGCAGACCGCTTCCGGAATGTCATGGATTGAGGTTCAATACCTTAATTCGGCATCTCAGGCCCTCCAGACCTGTCGTCAGACGCTAAAGTGGACATATGCATTCGCATTTTATCTTGCCCGCAACAACTTGACTGAAATCTTCGAGGACAACCAGAAGGATCTGGAGATGGCCGTCGAGGCCTTGTCGGAGATGTTCGAGAAGCCCATCCCGGAGCTCTCGGATCCAAAGTTGAAGGTTGAGATCATGGACAAGACCTCGTACTGCAATAAGAGACGGATAGTTCTCCTCGAGGACACGGCCGAGAACCTTGCCAACGGTATGTCGCTCCACCTGACATTTTTGCAGCCCTGCCGGCAATGAAACTAACGTAGGACACAGGACGTTGGACGTTCAATGTGGACCTGCACAACCCGGGCTCCACAGCAGGCGCGAGTGCTCGTTAGATGCATTCCCCTTCCCCAGCGGCCGGTTTGCATCCTGGGACTTCCGTGTAAGGTCCTGCACCACAGGAGGGTCTGTACATTGTCGTATCCTTTGACCTTGCGCGGAGCGCAACCCCAAGGCGACGTGAGACACTGATTCTCTAGGAGCGATTTTCTGCATCGTTTCGAGCCATGCACGACATCTGGCTCGTATAGGCAGCATTGCTGGTGTAAAGGTGGACATATTGATTTTTCTGTGGTTACACCATTACGATCAAGGGGCGGCTTGGTTGGGCATCCCAGAGTGTGCCCGGGGGGCTCACGTTCTCGCCTTATAGAACATGACTTATACATAAGATAAGATGCGAGCGTTCTCCTCTAGGCTGGCATTTGAATTCGTAGCTACTACAAATGTTACTTTTAAAACATTGTGTCGACTTGGTGGTGCCCAGTGTTTAAAGTAGGAGATACAAAAAGCCATTACTCTTTGTGCCGGACTAGAATGTACAAAATGCAATGGACACTGGACGGCGACTAGCAGGCTATTCTCTAGGAGAGCTTAGCAGGAGTTACGAAGAATAATAGCCAGGGGCCTTTCATGTACGATCCGTTAACTTTGGCCATCTGGGCTCCGGCGTCGGGACATATCTGGGCAGCACACTAAGCAGTCAACGATAGGGGAATTAGCCATAGGTATGAGGGTCCCGTGGAAGACTTGCTCCTTCCCGTGCTCTGGACACGCACGAAAAGATCACCACCGGCATGCACACTACACCGTGTAATCACGTCCATTGTACGCTGCTCTTCGGTAATGTGTCGTTGTGTGCAAAGGACGGAGCTTCATATATCGCTTGCATTCACAGAGGAAAAGATCTCTGACTGGCGTTGAGGGCCTGGCCAGCACCGCCACTTTCCGATGGAGGTGAGTCCCGGGCCGTGGTACTGGACCGGGAAATCCAATTACCGCATCCTGGTGGTACCATCTGGGAAGAGGCCAGTGCCTCCAATGCAAAATTGGGGTTCTTAGTCAGCGGCCTGTTGCCGCGGCATGTGGCCGAGTGGTCGAGAGCGGGTTCGAGTGTCTTAGTAGGTTTTGGAGTAGGCGGCCGGTATTATTCTTATCCAACTGTTGCCGATTGGCCTTCCCGAAGCCGGCTTCCCCAGCCCTGTTGGCGTCGGCGTGTATTCCCCGCGACGCCGCACCAAAGAGCATCGCCCACCCGACAGGTACCAAAGCTCCGAAGGGTACCCGAGGTGGATGGATCCTGCATAGTACGTAGTGCACTCGCTAAACCCGAGACCCCCAGCGAAGCCTACCCAGCATCGGCCATTCACGGCACGAGAACCCCCAGGCAATTGGAAGAGAAGTCCTCGACAAGTAGGTAGGTACTTCAGGGCTGTAGGTACTTCCAAGGTCCCACGGTCCTAGCTCCTCAATGCGGAGATGCCAATGGTAGGTAGGTATCGACTTCGGGGCAAGCAGCAAGACCCCAAGACAGACTAATTAGCTACTCTCTCCCGCCTGTCGCATCCCCATGGTTTAAAACCTCGGAGACGTTCCGTTCCTCGGCGTTGCTCTCTTCAAGTCAGTCAGTCACTCTACTTCTACCGTAACGTCTCGGGTTGCAACTTGTAGGGGCCTTCTTCCTCCTCGTACCGTACCCGAAGTTGTGCTCTCGCGAGTGTTGTTAGACCTGTTTGTCCCACGTAGAAGCTCTTTGGTTCATAGACCGAGCTTTCAATATGGCGTCCGCTGCCTTGTCTATGAGAGTCCTGCGCGCATACTCGCGGCATGGATCAAATGTGCGTCTTCATGATACCTCCTCTGCCAGAAGCTCATCCGTCTGCGGGAGCCAGCCATTGAACGTAGCTGACTTAGCATTCGTGCCCTCTGTGTAGCATGCTGCCCTGTTCGCGCGGGCCTTCTCGGCCACGTCCAGGAGAGCCGAGATTAACAAGGTCTACCCCTCGGCTACGGAGGCACTGAAGGACTTGAAGCCCGACTCGACACTGCTGTGCGGTGGCTTTGGGCTCTGCGGCGTCCCTGACACGCTGATCGACGAGGTGTTGAACAAGCCCGAGATTACTGGCCTGACAGCCGTCTCAAACAACGCCGGCACCGACGACAGCGGTCTCGGCAAGCTCCTCAAGACGAAACAGATCCGCAAGATGATCGCTTCCTACATTGGAGAAAACCGCACGTTCGAGAAGATGTATCTGACTGGCGAGGTCGAGCTGGAACTGACCCCGCAGGGTACCCTCGCCGAGCGATGTGCGGCCGGCGGAAAGGGCATCCCGGCCTTCTACACACCGGCCGCCTTCGGAACGGTCGTGCAGACTGGTGAGCTTCCGCTGAGGAACAAGGCCGACGGCTCCCCGGACCAGTACTCATATCCCAAGGACGTCAAGGTGTTCAACGGCAAGAGCTATCTCCTCGAGCACAGCATTGCCGGTGACTACGCCTTTGTCAAGGCGTACCGCGCCGACAAACTAGGCAATTGCCAGTTCCGGCTCGCTGCCAACAACTTCAACGGAGCCATGGGCCGCAACGCAAAGATGACCATTGTGGAAGCTGAGCACATTGTCGAGCCGGGTGAAATCCCGCCCGAGGCCGTCCACCTGCCTGGAATCTACGTCAAGCGAGTCATCCAGAGCACCAGCCCCAAGAAAATTGAAAAGTACACCTGGGCCAAGGACGACGACGACGCCGATGCTAAGAAGGCCCTGGGCACCGGTGACACGGCGGCGAAGCGCGAGCGCATTGTGCGCCGGGCCGCCAAGGAGTTCCAGAACGGCATGTATGCCAATTTAGGCATCGGCATGCCCATGCTGGCTCCGGGCTTTGTTGGCCCCGAGGTGGAAGTCCAGCTGCAGAGCGAGAACGGCATTCTTGGCCTGGGGCCCTACCCGAGGAAGGGCGAGGAGGATGCTGATCTCATCAATGCCGGCAAGGAGACAGTCACACTCAAGCCCGGCGCAGCGGTGTTCGGTAGTGAGGAGAGCTTTGGCATGATCAGAAGTGGACGTATCAACTTGACTATCCTCGGAGCCATGCAAGTCAGCGCCAATGGCGACCTTGCTAACTGGATGCTGCCTGGCAAGGTCAAGGGATTCGGCGGTGCCATGGATCTCGTTAGTAACCCAAGTGCGACAAAGGTCGTGGTCACGATGGAGCACACGGACAAGAAGGGCAACGCGAAGATCGTGAAGCAGTGCGCTTTCCCATTGACAGGCAAGGCCTGCGTCTCAAGAATTATCACCGAGCTGGTAAGTACTTGTTCTACAGAATATATCGTCTTCTGGGCAATAGAGGCTGACAGCGGATGCAGGGCGTGTTTGATGTTGACTTCGCGCATGGATTGACCTTGATTGAGATTGCGGATGGTGTAACAGTGGAGGAGGTGAAGAGCAAGACTGAGGCACCTTTTACCGTCGCCGAAGACCTCAAGCCTATGCTATAAAGCCTCATGGGACGTTTTTCGGGCCACGAGGGAAGGCGACTGGATGTACCAACAGGGGGAGGATGAGCAATGGGGTGCAAGAGAAATATCCAGCGGTTATTATTTGGGCTACATGGAACTTGATCTCCATGACACCGACATCATTCTCTGTTAATTACTGCATGTTATCTAGGGCGCAACGGGAATCAAAAGTAATTATCGTCGTGGCAATAGGCGCCTACACCATCATCACATTGGAGCGCGGAGCTATGCAGCATGCCCATCATGTAGACTTGTGTCTGTAGCCTTTCGGGAGAAACGAGTATTCCTGTGCTTGATTACCTACGGTCTCCCTGGCCAGGTACTAACACTACTACCGCCCCGCCATTCTATACAACCCACCAACAACCACAGATATTCAGTCTCGTCTAGATCAACTCCGTTCCGTTGATTTTGGGACACTTCAGACATCACGCCTCGATCCCGGAACGCCGTGAGGTATCCACAACCGGAGACCATGGGGTCCTCGCAACCGTCCCATGCGCAAAGCAGAAAGGCTTCTCGCCTAAGAGGGCCAAGGTCACTTGTGGAAATGGCAGTGACCGTTGTGGTGAGAAATATGGCCGATGTCTCAGAGCATCACCTTGAGCAATTCCCTGAGCGAATAATCTGGCAACTTTGGAAATCATCGCGGAGAAGGTTTGCCTGCTTGATACGCCAACCCGTCATTATCCAACCTCTACTAAATAATCCCAGTCGCTGCTCCCTCCATGCATGGAAGATCTTCTCCAAACTTCTTCAAGGGAGGAAGGACGATAGGCCATTAGGCCTACTATTACACAGCCAGCGACAACTGGAACCAGCTTCGGATCTTCACGTCTGTCTGCAACCACTTACGTCCTCCTCACTTGACTTTATTACTTATGTGAGCATCGTGGGGCCCATGCCGTTTGGAGTCACCGAGTTGTTGCCATTGGCACGACTCAGGAACCTAGGCATACTCGAGTTTGCTGAACCTTCCGACCCGGAGGCTTCGTTTCCTCGGGTAAACGATCGGGTTATGAGAGCTTGGAGCGAGCAGGAAAACACATTTCCAGAACTTCAGATACTCCGACTGTGGGGCTATTCTATCACAGAGAGATCTGTCCAGTACGCGGCTCGCTTCCCAACTTTAACACTAATCGACATCGTTGGAGCAGGTTTCGACTGGGACAAAGCTGAATCTTATGCAGACGAGAACGGCTGGGTGATGGAAGAATCGTCATTAGATGACGCGAGTATCATATTGAAGGCTTCTGGGATCCTTCTTCACAAGGAGCCTACCTCAAAACCTACGTATTCCGAAGAGAAGCTGGTGAGGTCATACCTAGGACAACTTTGCGAGAAGAGAGATCGGCCGGTCTATCTGGGCCAGTCTTTAGAAATCCCTCCGACGCTCCCTTGGAAAGATTGGCAGAATACGCGCAAGGAACTCGTATTGACAACCCAGCCACCGTGGGAAACGGAACTATACTGGCTCTATGGCTTGATTTCACACCTGCGCGATGGGGGTAAAACAATAGCCAAAGAGCAGGACTCCGACACGCGGCATGTTCTGGAGAACATGGCATGCCCATCGAAACCAATGGCGTGCCTTCGCTTGGGCTTCCGTATGGACTCACCGCGTCGCCAACTTGCATTTCAAAGCAGGCGTCCAATATCACGAGGAATCTTTGTGCGCACCCATCATCCGGGCGTTGACTCCCATGTTGAGAAGGCAGAACGTCCTGAATCGGTAAGACGATCTTTTAAATCCCGCAAACGCCAAAAAATCAGTGACGTATTCAACACCTTCACTTGAAACGATGCGCCGAGCGTAAGGATGAGGAATACCCATCTTGCCTAGCTTGATTACGATTACTGTGTACCATTCTTCGATAATACTACAATATCACGATGGCAAGCCCAACAATTGCAGTCGACCAGCCCTGTCGGCCACCTACCTATTCGAGTGAGCCGATGCGTGCAGGTCAGCCTCTAAGTCCGAGGGGCTGCTGCCGTGCTGTCTCTGGGAACGAAGAGGTCCTTGAGCAGTTCCAAGACTTCGGAGAAAGTTGGCTTATAAACCGGATCCCGATACCGGTAAGGCAAGCTTGAAATATTCAAGCTTGTTTCGGTTGCAGTGGGACAGGCGGACGGAATACTCTGATACGACCATGCAGCAGAACTCGCTTGCATGTGGACTCCAAGGCAATACTCCTGCGCCTAAGCAAGCTACCGAGCTTTGCGCCACGGGGGCGAAGTGAGGAATGGCATCGTTTCAAACTAGACAACTCGATTGGGGTAGTTTGTATCGTCAGTAAAATTTCTCCAGGGCCCAATGATGCATATGTGGTCCAGAGGGTAAGTCGACGACTGAGGTCTCGATCTGTCCTCCGGTTTCCCCTAATAACTGCCATGGAGCACGACACAATTAGAGTGATACTGCGAAGGCAGGGTTAGCATATTTGACCTTGAATGGGTAGGAGGAGGAACCTTGGGGGACATACCGGAGGAGTGGTTTTATGATGAAGAAGAAAGAAGGAGAAGGAGAAAATCGGGGCCGGCAGAATGCTGTTGAAATTGCTCCCTGCTGGAACAAATCACATGACTTAGCATGTGCCTTCCACTTGAGTGTTACGAAGCCAAATGAAGCCAGAAAGTGATTCATGCTGCAGTTGCTGCAATTGAGCTTCATTCTTGCAGAGAGTATCAGAGTGTCTTATAATTCAATTAAGTTGTTACCTATGCAGCCCATGGGGTTGTATGTATTTGCTGAAAAAGCAAGAGTGCTGCGCCTCCTGTCCTTCTAGATCAGCGTGACACGAGCTGATATCGTTGTGAAATCTCGACTAAAGATAACGCTCCCTTAAAGACGATATTAAACCAGTTTCCAATACCTTATCTTGGTCTTTATCCCGCGGAATGTCTGGGTGATGAGCAAGTGCTCGCCCATCTAGCGCCCATAACAAGTTAACCTTGCCATGTGTGAGGTGAACTGGCTGAGCTACTTATACGAGATCGGCTTTTGATACACACCACAGCAAAACCCTGCTGCCTACTCACCAGGTTAACCAGATACAATGTAGACAGTGCAGCAAGGAAGATCATAGATGTGTTGCAAATAGCTGGATGAGAAGCCATCGAAGTGAGATAGGATAAGAAAATGCCATAGATTAAATAGCGGTGGTCTAGATGCAGAATGGTTCTCAAGTTGTGCGCACAAGACCTGAATGAAAATGGGCACCTTGTTCTCTCTGCTAACAGTTGCTCCTTGTAAGGCAGCTGGCGGCATCGAGCCATGAGCCACGCAGCAGCCTTGTCGCTAATTTCCGCGCTCGCTCGGCCGTGGTCCACCCTTTTTTTTGTCAATACCCACCCTGGCACCTACCTGTTACTGTTACCTTACCTACCTTAGCACTAAAGCAGACCTCGATAAACCCTTCTCCACGACCATCGATCCCATCCCCGACAAGACCACGCAGCCTGGAACGCCACCCTCTCCGGATTCTCTGTCGATAAGCAATCATGGCCTCCACGTCGGGATTGACTCGGCGAAGAGGCGCCGGCGGAGGAGCAGCACCCACAGGCGATGCAGAGGCTAGCAACGGCGGCGCCGTCAACCGCACCAATTCCTCCAGCAACTTCAAGGACAGCGCCCCTGAGACCAGCTACGAGAGCGGCGAAAACGGCCACAAGATCGCCTTCGACCCCCGCGACATCAGTGAGAATGCAGAGAGGAGCAAGCAGCCCAAGCTCACCTTGATGGAGGAGGTCCTGCTGCTGGGTCTCAAAGACAAACAGGTTCGTCGCCTCTTCCCCCCTGCGACGCCCAGCTGCACGTCTTCCAACCCGCGAATCCACCGTTGCTAACTCAATTGCAATTGTCAACAGGGCTATCTCTCCTTCTGGAATGATAACATCTCCTACGCCCTTCGTGGGTGCATCGTCCTCGAACTTGCCTTCCGTGGGAGGATCAGCATGCAGAAAGACCCCTCTAGACGGCGATTCCCTCTGGCAGACCGCATCATCGAGGTCGTCGACGACTCCTTGACCGGCGAGGTTCTCCTCGACGAAACCCTAAAGATGATGAAGGCAAGCGAGAAGATGAGCGTTAGCTCCTGGATTGATCTACTGAGCGGTTAGTCTCGCAAATTCACCTGCGTTGGAGGCATACCTCCTCACCCTCCTGGGCTAACGTATGATTTCCTCAGGCGAGACATGGAATCTAATGAAGATTGGCTATCAACTCAAACAGGTCCGCGAACGGCTGGCCAAGGGACTCGTCGATAAAGGCATTCTTCGTACCGAGAAGCGCAACTTCTTGCTCTTCGACATGGCCACCCACCCAGTGGCCGATGGCGGCGCCAAGGAGGAGATCCGTCGACGTGTTCGCAACGTGTTGACACAGCGAACTGTTGTACTCCCGGGCTCCCAATTCCTCCCCGAGAACCTCGAATTCCGATACACCAGGACCATCGCCATGGTGTGCGCCGCATATGCGGCCAATGTCCTAGAAAACGCGCTATCCACCCTAGGCCACGAGGCGCGGGAGCGGGCTTTCACGCAGACGGACGAGCTTCTGGCCGAGTATAGCCAGTGGCCATTCGGGAAGAAGGCGACGGGCAATGGTATTGGAGCGAATCTGCCGCAGGTTATCTCAGATGTGCGTTGACTTGGCATATCCCCCTTCTTCCCCCCTGACTACAGCTAACATATCTCAACCACTATAGGAAGTCAACAAGGCCAAGGAGAAAGAGCTACAGCTCGAGGTTGTTGCTGCTTGTCTTAGCGTCTTCACCCGACTCGACTCCCTCCTATAAATTTACCCTTCTTCCCTTTTCAAAACTACGTTATGAATCAATTCCTCCTTTTGATGTCCTTTACATGAGGCCGAAGGAAAAGAAACCCGAGTTACAAGGAAGATTGTCCCTGTACGACATGGAATTTTGCGTTGGTTAGTATGGGAGCGGAATAAGCATAGGACGTCTTGCTTGAGATCTAGACGGCTGCATAAACGGGTTTGACATTGTTCGTTGCACGGAATGTCACGCAGGCAGAGGATTCAAAGAGAGTCAGGAATGGCTTGGACACAATGAGGACCTAGCGCAGCCTGCCAGACACTCAATTCGTCCGACAGATGGTATCAAATAAAGGTCTTGTAACAATCGATCAATTGATCAAAGGAGATGAGGGCGTCTCCATCTTGGTACTGTAGCGCATCATCCTTCAAACTTTGCTTCACTGTCTGGAAAACTGGTGGTAGGAGTTTTGAGCGTCTACTACAGGAATTGACATAATATTTCCAAACTAGTCGGTTAACTCCCTCGTCCTGATGTGATTACATGTAAGCTTGATTAACTTGGCATGCTATATTGTCGTGGAAACGATTATATATGCAAGGTGACAACAGGCCAGCTAATGTTATGCCGCTCCGAAGCAACTCTTGGAGCACGTTCAACCGTCTGGGTCGTTCGACTACCTTTTCTTTCCACCAACCCGTAAGGTGCCCTCGAAGCCTGGCCTGTTCTTCTTGACCGCCTTCTTTCCCTTCTTCCCAGCCTTGCCTAGGAGCTTTTCATCCCGTCGCTTCTTGATGTTTTCCTCTCGCTTCTGCTGGCGCTGCTTGATAGCCTTGCCCACACCTTCCGCTCTCTCCTTCCACTCCTTCTCGCTCTTTTTCTTTGCCTTTTCCTTCCGCTTGACGGCTTTCTTCAGGAGTGTTTCGTCATCACGGACTTTCTCGCCTTCTGCCCGCTTCCGTGCAGCAAGCCACGTCTCTTTCTCTAATACCTCCTTACGCTTATCCTCGTCTAGATGAGACACTCTCTTCTTCTGAGCTTCCAATTTTGCCAGCGCCGTCTTGGGGTCTGAAGGACCCTTCTTCTTGGCACTACCATCCTTAACGTAGCTTAGATCGTGTGACATCTGTGTACCATCCGCAAAAGCCACCCTGCCAAAAGCAAAGTGATTTGCGCTACCATCGTCGGGAGAGCCGAAGCTGAGTAGTGGACTCATGATGCTGCCGGGTGATGTGCGTGCACTCAGAAGGGCCTCCTCGCGTTTTTGCTCCTCAATCTCTTTGGCCTGCCTACGCAGTTCCTTCTTGTGCGCCTTCCGCTCCGCTTGTTTGACTCGACGTGACTCAATGAGTTCCTGACGGGTACGAATGGGCTTGCCATCTGCATTATCGGCCTTACGGGCTGCACGTAATGCCTCGATTTTGGCAGCTAAACGAGCTCGTAGTGCTGTCGTGTCTGCTGGTATTTTGATATGTCTAGGTCTCTCGGAGGGTGGAACGGTGCTGGATATGGAGGTGGTGGTGCTGGCTGGTTCACCAGTTGCTTGGTTGGGGGTTTGCTCTGTGTCGAAAGTGGGTGAATTGGGTGAAGATTCTGATGACGAGGTCTGTAACTCCTGAACCTCGCCTTCGCCATCAAGACCCGAGATTTCGATGGCTTGCATCTCACCCGCCTGATCAATGTCCTCTGCGCTGTCATTGTCGGTTTCCTTAGATGGTAAAATGTTGATGTTCTCCGCAGGAGCCTCCTTTCTTGCTTTTGATTTCGTCGTTTTCGAAACGGGTACTTCTTCATGGGCTGCAGCATCCGCTACCACTTCATCCACATTCTTGTCACTCGTTCTGGTCTTTTTCTTCTCCGCCCTCTTTTCGGATTTCTTCTGCTTCCTCAAGAGCTGCTTCTCCTGTTTGGTGGACAGAGTGATCGGCTCCTCTTCTTCTTGAGACGTAGACAACTTCTGCTTCTTGTTGGGCTCAACATCCGCAATCTTTTGCTTCAGGCCTTCGCGAGGCTTTTCCCTCTCGATGCCATTGACGTCACTGTCAACATCAATCCCGCCATTATCGTCGTTCTGCTCGGCAATTTGATTTTCTTCCTCTTCCTCGATCTCCTGTGCTTTTCTCTTTTGCCGTGCCCGCTCGTCCATGACTTCTTTGGCATTTCGGTTAAGTGCACTGTCGGGATCTAGTTTGCCTCGCTTTGCGGCCTTGGCTTCTTCCTTGGTCTGCTTCTTTGCTTTCCATTGATTCTGTAAAAATTGTGAGCCTCTTTCTCTCGATTTGAAGAATTGCATCTCAGCTCTAGAGCGTGAACCTTAGTTGCCTCGATTTCGTGGATAGCACAAGGTTCCGCCGAAGGCGAGACGCCATCACAACATGGGAGCGAACGTACGCTGGTGTCCTCTCCATAATACATCTTCGCGGGGATTAGCGACAGTAGGCTGTCGAAAGCCTTGGCGTGCTCGCGCAGGCGGTCCTGTTGTTCACGGGTTCGTCACCAAATGTTTTCTTCGCAATGCCTTACCGCCTGAAGAAGCGGGCGGGGCAATACTAACCTGCAGCGATGTATCCGCCATTCCCTTAGACTTCCCGTTCGGCACCAAGAAAATAGAAGAGTGACACAGAAGTATGGGAGAATGGTATCCCTTGAGGGCTTTGGCGAGTATGACCGAGGCGACAGAAGTCAGTGTGGTTTAGCGAGCAGACGCAGACCCCAGAGTGATTATCGTGATTGGGGATGTGGTGACGGCGGCGACGGGGTCCAGTCGCTATTAATTTTTATGCCAGTAGTTAGAAAAATTTCGAGTGCCGGGAACCCCAGTTGCTTATCGGCGTTTTCTGCCGCGGGCGGTCTGATAAGCTTAGCTCCTCGAACCCGCAAACTCGGGAGCTGGGGTACTCAAGATCTTGTGTCTTTGAAAATACTTGAGTCGAGACAATAGAATTATATCAGCAAAGTCTGGTAATTAAGTCCCGATAGTTTAAGACGTGTCGATTGATGTTGTTTCTTAGAGTTTGTTAGACAATGGTCCTACCTGTAGACATGCACCTGCTTTAACAACTAAACAAACACCTGTAATGGGGAGAAACGGATATGTACACATCTAGTAACAAGAATATAAAGCACAGCGACTTGCTCATAAATGTATTATGAGGCAGAAACAATACCACACTTGATCAGATGATGCCTACAACTCCTGTATACCCTATGTTGTACAAGCTTGATGCTGTTGCTGTTACCGTTACCACTCTGTTGTCAACGACAAGAATGATTAATTGCGGAATGCCACTATTCCCGCCATGCTCAAATGATGCAAGCGCAAGTGCCACACCCAAGACTCCATACGCTATGCAATACAGTACCGTCAGACGCTCTTTGACTCACAAGGCCACGACTACCACCACAGCCCAGATCATGTGTACAGAAACCTCGATAGATCAAGGCGACTCTGAAAAGACTCTTCAGTCCCATTTTTACCGAGGACTTCGAGTTCATTCTCATCGTCGCTATCGGGAATAATCTCGTCCTCGCTACCAAGGGGCCTGTTTAAAGCTTCCACTTCCGCCAGGTCAACTTTGGGAAGTGGAACGAATGATGGGTTCACCGGAAAGCTAGCCAACGCTTTTTCAATGCTATGTCGTTTGTTAGGTTGTTTATGTGTCTGTCGACCTTCGCTAAGTGGTGATGTCTGTTTCCCGCCCCGCTGCAGAGCTTGTGCTCCAATCCGCTGTAACGGAGTTGCGAGTGGCGTGTTTGGTTTCGGAATAGCCCCCTTTGAGACGGACTCCTGCGAATTGGAAGCTGGTGTTGGTAAACCATAGACTATGCGGGTCCCGGTTGCGGCTTTGATCCCACCCGAATTGTAAACAAATTGTCGCAAGGCATCACGCGCTGGCGTCTTTGCGGGAGACAACGCGAGTTTCGCGTCGGTTTGTGACTGTTGCACGGCGATGGCAGATGTCCTGGAAGGATTCATCAGGCCATCCGGGCCAGCATGGCCTGCTTCGACTGGCGTATCAGATCTTGAGGCTGAAGCTTGGACAGTATCTTGGAAGATCTCTAGCACTTTTGGAGCCTGGTTTGGGTTGCTTGTATTCCAGCTGTCTACATCGGGTAGACTTCGAAGAGCGTCTTCCACGGAGTCATCCGACATCAAGAGACTTTCGTGCCGCCGGCTGCCAGGTGGCTTCTTCGTTTTTGGAGGGAAGAATTTGCTCTTCTCAGGCTGTCCGCTCACCGCCTCATCCAGCATTATATCCTCGCAGAGTCGTGCCTTCTTCTGGGGTCTTGTGTGATGGTCGTCAACGTCCACTCCTCGAAGTGTTGGTGCAGCTGTACGCCGACGGGCACCAGAAGATGTAGACGATTGCTGATTTAGCGGAATTCTTGATATAGGTTCAGTTTGTTTCCGATGCGGTCGGGAAGTCGTATATGGCCTGGAGGTGTCGGATGATTGACTAGCCCTATTGGACTCGTCGATATAAGGCCGTGGAAGTGGAAAGACTACTGGTGCGACCTCCGTCTGCACAACGGCATTTTGCCTACGAGGCTCAACAGAGAAGCAGTTGGGCTCCATCTCACCCAAGGGAATTCGACGGTGACCTTTGAAGAATGATTCGATCGGCTTGCCAAGGGATTTGCTCTGCGTTGCAAAGGCCGGCAGTATCTTTCCGGTTTGTCTCTTCTCTGGCATGCCGGGAAGTACGATTGGCTGCTTCGATATTGGATTGACATCACCGACAGCAACTGCTCGAGCCAATTCAGCGTCGACGTGAGCACCGATGTATGGCATTGATTCAACGTCCATTGAGGGATCTGGCTCAGTCAGGAAGACAATCTCCTGTTTGTCTGGGCAATATACCCGCTGGTGCAGGAAAGTGAGTTCTGCCTGCTTGAACGCTGCGAGGTAATTCTCAGGCACTCGAAATTTGCCCTCAAATTGAAGCATTCGAATAACTCGCTCCGGGGTCTTGCACTTTCGTATCATACGATAAGCCGTCTTTAGGCCCATGTTATTAATCCCATCTAGGTAATCGCATCCGCTGAATATAGCCATGTGGCGAAACTCGGCGTCGGTCCATCCAGTCAAGGAGATCTCACGACAGGCACAAAAGTCTCGCCTGTTGATCTCCACACATTGTCCATGCTGATCGAGCTTTGTGAGAAGTCGTTTCGCTCCAAAGACAAGCAAGTCGGAGTCTTCAGAGATGATGCCATTGACGAGGCCCTGACGCTCAAGATAAACCATCTGAGCGTCAGCTTCGTACGGAGCGACTACGTATGGCACGTCTGCTTTCTTGAGCTCCTCCATCAGGTTCCGAGCCATCTCTGGAGTCACGTCAATGGCCTTTTGCAATTCCTGAAACGCTTGCGATGGCTTTCCAGCTTTGAGAAGCTCTAGGCCAACCCTCCTGCTCTCTTCCCGCCGTTTAGAGCGGGAAGCCTCCGTTAGAGCTTTGCTGGGGAGATAATCGCCATCGAAAACCAGGTACGGGGTAACACCAAAATACTTGACCATCCTAACACGGTGCATTGCAAAATCCACATATCTGGGAACAGTTTAGCTACAGTGATTGGTTTTTAGGCGGAGGAGATTAGACTAGAAGACTCACTTGCGGGTTGGCTTGCCCTGGGCAAGCTCCATTGCGCATGCCACGGCGCCACGATGAAGCCATCCATAAGCATCAATTGCTAAAGTCTCGCCCGAGAACTTCTTCAGTTCTGTAGGTCGGTGAATTGACTTTAGTAATGGGAGAAGACCTGCACACCTGTGAGCAAATACAACGGCATAGACGGTCAGTAGAGGGAGACTATTCATACCCTGAATACCCATCTTGGGCAGTGCCGGCAGCGCAATCCGACAGGAGAGGCGAGCCCTCCCCGAAAGAGGAGAGAATGGCGGGAGAAAGCTTTCAAATCTGGATAGCCATCCAATTGTTACTGACGAGAGGCTGTCGTAGTAAGCGGAAGACCGGTTGGTGGCGTCTTGGAGACAAGATCTGGACCAAAGGGCTCGAATGGGCAACGGACGCGTTGATTGCCCTTGTTTACCAGCACCCCTGGGATTAGGAGTCGGAGGCACGGAGGAGCCAGCGAGAGATGAAAACCTTGGATGGCCGTAGCGACGAGATGCTGACTGTGAGTCGAAGATAAGTCAAAGGGAACGCTTCTTGATCGCAGAGTCCTACCCGGGGCGAGTTGGTGGGTGCCGGTTTACTTTGGAGTCTTAGACGCGTTAAGATACAACGCCTGACTCCGTGTAAGCGCGTTCTGTGCAGGGATGGTCGGTAACTCTTGAGTGGTGGAGCTTAGGCCAGGTGCCCGCCCAAGCTGCTCCTGTCCTTCGACGAGCTGTCCCACTACTTGCCCTACTCGGCTAGCTTTCCGCCACTAGCCATTTCCCCAGCAACCAGACCATCCCCTAAGACTACCTAGCCCTCGAGTACCTAGGCACGTGCTACCTACCCAGGTAGGTGGGTATAGCACTATACTACCCATTTCGGGTAGGTCCCCACCTGCGACTTTTATTTTAGTTGAACCCCTGGCTTATCTTATCGAGGCTTCCATATCTGCCAGCCCCACCAAAAACTCTTCAGTAGAAAGAAACATACAGTCCTGAGTATACTGAAGTGCAGCTTAGACGTCGTAGCGAACTGGATTCAACTTGTGAGGAGATCAACAGTGTCTGGCTAGCGTAGTTGAGGATTTCGAGCGATCTTATCAAGTCACACCTAGTCGATCCTCCAAACCTTTGCGGGTGACCGCTTCGTCACTTCACATCTTTCGGAAACCGCTTCACAAAAGACCAAGAACCGCTCCTCAGCTAAGCGGCCTGTTTCAGTGCTGCTTGCCACGATGCCCAAGTCTCTGGAAAAGACGCGCAAGCAAATGGCAAAGAAGAGAAATGGCACAGTAGAGGCTCTTCATCAATATTCTCGGGACTCCAAACGTTTGCATAGAGCACAAGTCAGGGACGAGAGGCTGGAGAAGCTGGCTACTTCTCGGCGAAGGCAAGAGCAGCCATTCCGTGCGTTCACCGCCGTCCCTGGACACGACCCTGCTCTCCCATTGCTTCCCGAGAAAATAACTGACATTCTTCTCTAGTTGACCGTGTATCGCACTTCAAAGCTGCTATCGCTGATAATGGCAGCCTGCCGCTTGATATGGATAGTGTCCAAGCGCAGATCAAATCGTATATCTCCTACGGCGCCTGCTCCTCATTCGGATGATGTACTGACTAGCAGTCTAGGTTTGTACAGCAATATGATGATGAATACAACAGCGTCACGAAAGCTCGTCGTCCAGGCCGGCCAGCCAGCGCCAGAGAAGATATGCTGAAATTGAAGATTTCCACTCTACAGAAGGAATACGAGCACGGATTCTGTGCGTTGAGCTTTCTGAGTTGCCTATCGATTCATTAAACTGACCGGTCCTAGTACTCCCGGATCTTACCTCTGTCGAGAATGCCTCCCTTCTAGACCGCTGGGAAGGATCATGGGCATACCTCACCACGCTCGCCTGGGTACGTGTTTCCAAGTCAGGAGGCGTGAGAACTTCTAGTTTCCCACCGAAAGGGGACCATTGAAGCAACACTTAGTCACTATGGCTACAAGCTTCAATCTGTGGCTTGAGTTACTAGGTCACGAGATGTCAAAAGATTCGGCTCTTCGTCTCGACCGCTCATGTGACACACCTGCCCTCTTCTTTTCGAGGACACCCTTCAAATACAAGGATTCGGTGCTTCGTCTCGGAAATTACCAAATAGGGTTACGGATACAGTTCGATTTTATATGACTGTGGCCTCCAGTGGTGGATGCACCATGGTGTCTTGATGACGGAATTGGTCGGCTTTCTGCATCCTGCACTTTCTGCAGCCAGCTTTTTTACTGAATGCTGAATATTGGAGCATACCGCGCCTTTATCGAGAGGTAATGCTATAAATATCTTACAGTCAAAACCAAGCTAAGTCTCTGGCTCGTCTCCCGGATCTTCGACCCTTTGAGCCAGTCGAGCCCCAAAACCCGGTGTGGTAGCTAAGTTTGGTCTGGTCGCTCGGTGGTGCTAGGAGCTTTCCACTTGAAAGCTTGGACCTGCGTGGGTGCCATCTTTGTAGTTCATGCAAGTGGCAAAATCATGGAACAATCGTGCCAGCAGATAGCCCAAACTCTGCACTGTAGCTCAACCACTATATGATTGATTCATAATGGAAACACTCGAAGAGTCTAGGTTGTCAAGAAACACACGCAGGAATTTTTCTCGCCATAAAGTGAAGGCGCTTGGGAATTATAAGGGGACAGACTCGATAGAGCTTTTGATGTAGAATCAATGTCACCCCGGGGGCCAACCATCACGCATTCATACCGCACCTACTTCAATGCTGTTCTTGATGGACTGGTTCTACCCTCTCTTTGCTGTGTCTTGATATTCAACACCTGCACCAGTAATTTGTCTCTGGAATAGATAGTTCCGATGGAATTCAAATCGATTAGGATACCTAGGTACTGCGCAGCCACTGATGCGCAGGCGCAGGCGCAGGTGCTACTAACTCCCCTTACCACCTGCTTACCTTACATGTAGGTATGGGCGGTTTTAGCGTCACGCCAATCAGGGTAGCTGGTCTGTGCTTCTGCAGAAGTCTCTAAACCCGAAAACTTTCCCAAGCAGACCTTTGAAGCTTCGTTCGGTAGGCAAGGTGCTTGAGATCTCATAATTTCACAACAACCACCTCTCTTCTGCTGGCTCCGTCAAGAACTCGACAATCCATACATCTTCGCTGACTTTCTTTCTCTTTATTATTTCCCTTCGAGATACCCGCCAAATGATTTCGATTCGCTCCTTCGCGCGTTCAGCGCCCAAGACCCTCGGACGCCTGTCCTCAGTCGCCATTAGACGATCACCTGCACTTGCGAGGCCAAGCAGTGTGCTCAGGTCTCAAGTCTCTACGCTCCACCCGCAGCAGTTGTCTGCCTTCTCCACATCAAACTTCAGACAAGCACCAGCCGGCGAAGTAGACGAGGAGCTCAGCGCAAAGCTTGACAGCGAGATTCAGTTTGAGACTGAGGTCAAGGAGAATGAGCCCCAACCCGCAAGCATCAAGGATTTCCTCGAGAACGGTCCTTTTGAGCTGCAGGACACTCCTGGCAAGGAGGAAGTTGTTCTCACCAGGACTTATGGTAATGAGAAGTAAGCTTTCAATTCTCGTCGCCTATCATCTAGCTGTTGTACTTATTCTTATTCTGCTAGGATCACGGTAACCTTTTCAATTGCCGACCTTGCGAACTACGAGCCCGATATGTATAACGAGGACTCAGCTCTTGGCGATGAGGACGTCGATGGCCAGTTTGCGGACGCAGTCTCAGGCTCTAGCCGTGCGCCGGCGACGCAAGATGCGCGTGGCGCCGCAAACATTGCAGACGAGATGGAAGAATTGGAAGGCACCGGCGCGGATGCCGCGGTGCCATGCCGTCTGAACGTCGTTGTCGAGAAGCCTGGACAGGGCGCTCTGAACATTGAGGCCATCGCCCAGGATGGAAACATTGCCGTGGACAACATGTACTTCTACTCCGATGCATCCTTGGCCCATGGGGCCTCGGCGGACGCTGCACACAAGGCACAAGATATCTACCCCGGCCCGCCGTTTGGCAGTCTCGATGAGGACCTGCAGATTCTTATGGAACGATACCTGGAGGAGCGCGGCGTTACCCAGGCTCTCGCTGTCTTTGTACCTGACTACATGGACACAAAAGAGCAGCAGGAGTATCTGGCTTGGCTGAAGAACGTCAAGGCTTTCATTGATGCTTAAAGTTCCAATTGGACCACGGTGGCTTATGGTGCCACCTACTCATGTACTCTCAATCTTCGTGTACCATTTCCACTCCTGAGGTTTGCTGGGCTTCTGTAAAATACTTAATGAATAGGCCGGTCTCGGACACTATCACGGGACGGTGCATAGGTTTGGAATCAAGGTTAACGTTCCGAACCGACGACTTGTGCTGTCCTTTCTGATATATATAGTCTCTTCAAGTTAAATCACATGCGTTCCGTTAAATTCGAGTGTACCTTGACATGCATTACCCGGAGCGACCCACAAAACCGTCACGGGCGCCACAACTGCGCCGGCAGCGCCTCAAGGCGGCCGGAGAGTTCATGTAACAATTTCCGTCAAGGAAACCCTCTGACACTCAACTGCCGGATCAAATCCCCGATCGATTAAACTCGGGCTAATGACGCGAGCTGGCCGCTCAGGGTCGCCAACAGGTGGGAACTACTCTGTTGTTTGTGCACATAATGAACTTCGACAACCAGATGATGAAGAGGGTGTTTCCTTATTGCCCAGCGAGGCTTTCGAAATAAGTGAGGATATCGGGGGTGCGGATGCGTCCTATATAGAGCAGTTTCGACACCAACAAGGCTTTCGACATCGAATTGAGCGTTGGTTAGGCGCTCCTCGCCGACGGGAAAGTCTGTCCATCAACCCTCTATGGCCAGCATATCAGGACCGACCCTCACAATGGCTCGAGAAGAAATTCCCAGGGCGATGGCAGAAAATCATGTTGCTCGGGTTGTTTCTGTGCTCCTGGCTAGTTGCCTTCATTGTCCCACTGGTCACCAATGCTGTGACGGGAGAGGACATGTCAGGACAAAAGATTGTACATTTGGACTGTACTGACACTCTATGGGGTCGCGGAAACGAATGTGGTTTAGACGGCGTCGACTGTCAACCTTTCTCAAACGTCTCCTTTGCCTTTCACTGCCCGGCGAATTGTGCTGGTGTCGTGCTGCTGAATCCGCACGCGGTTGGTTCCCAGGATGTCAACTATAGACCACTCGTTGTGGGAGGGCCTGCTTATTATCGTGGCGACTCCTTTCTGTGTAGTTCTGCCATTCATGCTGGAGTGATCACTGACGCGACTGGAGGCTGTGGTGTGCTTAGTCGTGTTGGGCAACGTATGGGCTTTCAAGCCTCGAACACCAATGGTATTGAGTCGATTAGATTCGATTCGTACTTTCCCTTGTCTTTCACACTGTCCAAGGAGCCACAGGTTAAGGCGTGCGGCAAAGATCCTCGCCGACTATTGTTGGGCATCTCGGTTGCTTTCACAGTCCTACTGTCAGTCCTGGTCACCTCGCCAGGCGTGTTCTTCTTTGCCATCTTCACCGGTGTTTTTGCAGAGGTGGCACTGGGTTCTGACCCTCCAGGGGTATCAAAGCATGCAACATCAATTCTACCAGAGCTCGTCTCGGCGTTTGCCGGAAGACTGCTGCCCGGCCTCTTCTGTGCTGTGGTTATGTATCAAGCCTGTGTCAGGCGAACACTAGATGGTCTTTCCGGTCAAGTTGAGAAGACTATCCTTTGGGTCGGAGGTTGCTGGTTTGGCGCTTTAAGCAATTATACCTTCGCCTGGCTGCCGATATCACGTCTTACGAAGCATGACCTAGAAACCCAACCTGGTGCCAAACTATCCCTAGCGATCATATTGGCTGTTCTATTCTTCATCATCCTCCAGCAAGCCTACCATTTCCATCTCGAGGCACGCCTCAAGTCCCAGCTCGCTCTTTACGGCATTGTCCTTCTAGCAATCCTTGTAGGGATCTCAATTCCAGGGCTAGAGCTTAGACTTCATCATTACATCATCAGCCTTCTCCTCCTCCCTGGCACAGCTATACAGACTCGGCCATCGCTTCTCTATCAAGGCTTTCTCATAGGGCTGTTCATCAACGGCATCGCCCGTTGGAACTTTGACTCTGTTCTACAGACGACGGAAGTGCTGAGAGGGTCAGATGGCGAAATTGGTTCGCCTCTTCCCTTGATTCTACCGCCCAACATCACTCATAGCCCAGAACTTCTATCTATCGCATTGAGCTGGGTAACACCTGCAGAGTCCAGCCATGTTGACGGAATAAGCATCCTCGTCAACGATGTGGAGCGCTATCGTCAATACTTTGTGGGAAATTTCGGAATGTCGGGATTATTCGTATGGAACAGAAGTTCTGCAATAAACCAAGCCGAGTATTTCAGATTTGCGTACCTCAGAGACGGAAAAAGCCTTGACTACACTAAAGCTAGCACATGGGATGCGAACGGCCGGTGGACCTCTACCGAATCTAGGAAGATGATGTAAATTTAGGTCGATCGCGAAAGTTTTAACAATTGCGCCAACCTGTATAGTCGGCCACATTACCATTATTGACACGAGTTGCGCAGAGCAGTTGTCCATAGGTGCCTCTTGTTGTAGGTATAGTCGCATTTGACGAGCTATCTAGGTACAGCAAGGCCCAGTGATAAGATTTCCCATCGGGCCGTAATAAAGCGTAGTTCACTTCATCGACAACTACTCTTCCCTAACAATCAAGAACCATTCCAAGTCTGGAACTCCAGCTTCTCCTTTCCCTAGCTTCTGGCATTCGGTACCTTGCCCACGGTGAGGACACATTCAATCGTATGCCACCGAGTATCGCCAATAGGATTATTTGACCTCCGGAATATTATCCTCCACACGGGACTCCTGAGCCTCAAGTTGAAGGCTCTTATCGCTGACGGGCTCGACGCCGACGTTGGTCGCTCTGTGGGAGTCCATGATCTCCCTGTTCCAGACGTTGACGTACAGAGGGTAACTGGAAGACACGATCTGTTAGCTTGTGAACTGTTTGGATCAGGTTGAGGCATCACTCACATCCAGGCTAGAATATAGCCCATCATCGGGATAGCCATGGCAATATGAGCGTTCCTATGGTCGACAACGGCACCAGTCATGGGTGGAAATACCACTGCGAACACGATAGGTTAGCCAAGGAGGAGAAATGCCTCAACGGCAGATGACTTGTGTGACTTACTGCCACCAGAGATGGCAGCAACTAGCAGCGAACCGCCGAGCTTGGTGTGGCGACCAAGACCTCGCAGACCGAGGGTGAAGATGGTGGCGAAACAGGCAGATTCGAAGCAGAGCACCAGAATCAGCATGGCAATTGATGTCGTGCCAGAAGTGTTCATAGCGGCAACGATGAAAACGAAACAGAGAGCGAGGTAGCTGCCTAGGATGTAACGCGGCTTCCTACGACATCTAGAGTTAATAATTGCCCTGCTAGAACGGTGAAAGAGTAGGGAAAGGCTCGAAAAGAGATGCTTCGGGAGTAACCGTCCCCACCAAGACTGTGTCTCTGTCTTTACTACTCCAAACATGGCTACAAGATGTGAAAACGAACTCCAAAAGTTGCTTACATCGCAGGAATGGTCATCAAACCAGCAGCCAGGAAACGGTTAAAGGCGTACAGGCCTTGTCCAACAGCAAGAAGATCTGAGCCTTGGGCCTTAGTCCGGCCAGCTTCCATACAGAAATTGATGAAATAGTTCTGACGTGGTATTAGTCTACGCTACCAACAGTACGAGGTTGAAACTTACGGCAACGGCAACCTGTGCACCAACGTAACAGAATTGAGACCAGACGGCGAGGAATAAGTTGATCTGCTTGCGAAACGGACCGGGGTCGCGCTCTCCAATCTCGCCCTCCTGGAGATTCACTACAACACATGGAGTCAGTAATTGTCTTATAACGACATTGAAAGAGCATGGAGAGGTTTGGAAAGAGGTGTCTCGGGAGTGCCATCCACATTGAAATGGTGTCTTTGTCTCCATCACTCCAAGCATTGGCTGAAAGAAGCGAAATTGAACTCGAAAAAGTTGCTTACTATCGGCATCGGTGATCTCAGGCATGGGCGCAAGGAAGAAGAGGACGATGAGCAAGCCTACGAAGCAGGCGACACCGAGATACACCCACTGAACGTTCCTGAGACCCTGCTTGTCGGTGATGTTATTGAAGAAGACGCGAGAAGCGAGCAGGGGAGCGACTATTCTGTTGTTAGCGTTATACTACAAAAACAGCAGAGACAACCGGGTCAACCCTACCAAAAGACCCAACACCCTGAACTGCCTGAGCAAGGTTCAATCGAATCTCGGAATACTTGGGGGGACCGCAGATAGCGAGGAAACTGGGAAGATATTAGCGATCATTGTTTGATACCGGGAACCAGGTCTGACTCACGGGTCTGCGGCAGTCTCGAGGGTTGAGAGGCCAGCGCCAACGACGAACATTGAGCCGCAGAAACCGCCGAAGGAGGCCTTCAGACCGGAGGGCCAGAAGAGCAGGCAACCAACGGCCAAGACAGCGAGCCCGGTCATGAAGGTGACACGGAACCCGAAGCGTCTAAGGATCCATCCTGAAATGGTGGGTGGGCAGATGAAGTATGCGCCGAAGTAGGCGGCAGATAGGCCCGCCGCCTTGCTAGAGGTGATGTTGAGAGTCTCCTGGAAGTGGGAGTTGAGAACTGACGACACCTCACCATTAGCACCGATATCAATATTTGGAGAACAAATCTCGTTGTGTCATACCATCAAGAAGACCATAGGCGAACCCCCACAAGAAGAAGAGAATGGTGACTAGTTGAGAAAAACCGTCAATATGATAGCCCTCGAAGTTTGCATATTCCTTGTTGAGGATGCCATACCAAGTCCGTTGGGAACCAAGGACTGCCTCGTGGTCAAGTGTCCGGCGGCCGTGATGGCGTCGTCTCTCACGACAATTTTTCTCTTGTATAAGACCATTTTGTCTATAGTCAACCCAAACTGTCTCTGGTTCTGGTGCTGTTTGGTTCGATAAGGGCTGATTTCACTGGGCTATGGGATGAGTCCGCTGGAGACTTAGACCTGCAAACACTAGCAGATTTTATTTTGAAAACCACAATGGGCAGCCAAGGCAAGGCAAGGCAAAATAAGACAAGGCGAGAGATAGGCGGGGCAAGAAAGAGGAGAGAATAATGATGGACGAGTGGGATGGGATCTAATATTAAGTGCTGTAGCTGCTGTACATAGTCCCACAACACAATCAAGAACCGAGCTTGACACGGCTAAGATCTTGCTCCTCCACATTCCCAACAGTATCCATTTTAGAGTAGGCAGATCGAATGTTACACCAGGCCATCTGCTTCTCCAGCCTTCAGAGCTCCGGAGAAGAGGTTCAAGCCTACACCATTCGGGTCATTAGTTACCGACGTGAGGAGGAGGACCACGTCTCGGTCCTGGCCAAGGGCGCTGGCGATGCAGGGCTGGGCGCGTGGGAGCCGGTTGGAGGATCCTGGATGGGAGACAGGCTTTGGTGGACTGTCCAAGACTCCAAGGACGGTGCCGCTAGGCCGAGGCCGTGAGGATATTGGCACGACGGCCTGTCAAGTCTGGGGTAAGAATCAATAGTGGTGTGGAGGATTGACAAGACAGGCAAAGCCAAGGCCCGGGGTCCGAGACGGTCGTACTCTTCTACAGCGCCGCTCCACGAGGGGCCCCATGTGGGATCCAACGGGGGGTTCACGAATTCAGATGCGGCTCACATGGGGATGGCTTGGCTGGAGACCCTGATTGGATGGAGGAGGAAGGAGAGGAGAAAGAAGAAGAACCGGTACAGCGACTAAGTGCTTAGACCAGGATGAATGAATGGTAGGGTCCAGCCCCCTCCGGGGGAGGCTCTCGTGGTGAAGAAGAGCCGAATGGACGATACAGAGGTGTGGCCCGGTATTGAGAATGCACCGACAGCTCGGTTGGCCAATGAATGACGGACGAGCAAACACGAGACAAAATACACTGGACACAGGCAGATTGTAACCCTCGTGATCCTTAACAATGACTGTGTTGCTTGGGGTCTACCTTCTACATAGCAATGAAATGGTGTCTCTACACAGTAGGAATGAGAGTACTATCAGCATGTCTCCGAGCCATGTATGAGACCAGCTAGGCGAGAGATGGACAAGATGTAACTACTCACGTCCCCAGGTTGGACAGGGAATGAAGCGAATGAGCCGAGTGGCTGGCCGCGGTGAGATTTGCAGGCTGCCGCAGTGGGACCAGTTACTCGGGTCGCACGTCTGTCAAACCAACTCAGCTCAGCTCTTCCGGTACCATTACTCCTCGGCCCTTCCTGCAAGTCCAGCAACTGTCACCTGAACCCTTCAAGCCTTGAGATAGGCTTCTAAAGGGAGCCTGCGTCAATGAGATCTCAGAAGATGTACGATATGTTGCTTTGGAGCTGGCCAGGTCATGGACACAATACTAGAGGGACAGGAACCTCAGGACTGATAGGTATCTGGGTGCTGTTGTATAAAACAGGACTAGTATCTGACCTTTGACAAGAGGTTGACGATGATTGACCGAGGTTGGAAGGCCTTGTCTTGACAGATTTATTTGCAAACCACAAGGTAGAATACGCGTAAAGCAAGCTTTGTTAGTGATACTTTGTCTCAAGTCGGCTGTTGCATGCGTCTGAGGTCGAGTGGCTGGCCGGCTTCACCCTTGGGTCATTTAGATAAGAGCACGTACTGTACAGTTCCCTCCAAGGTGAAGTACCAAACAGACAGCCATCCCCGCGATTGTTGGTGCAGTCCTCGGGACAGCTTCGTCCCAACAATAACCCCCAGAAACGAGGATTCTTGGGGAAAGCGGGGGTGGGATAGGGGCAAAGACTCAAAAAAGCTGACTAGCGAGAAAAACTAGGCATGCCCATAAAGGCCTTGAGGAGAGACTGGCAGGGGTAGTTGCATAGTCTGTGTTTTTGGAAACACCAATTCTATCAAGGCTGTGAAACCACCTAGGACAATGGTGCCATGGGAGCGCGGCAACCGTATGGGATTCCATATCTGGGATGGTAGGCGGTATGGCTGGCGGTCTGACTTCTTCCTCTATCTCTCCCCTCATATTAATCGGCCAATTACGGGCAGACGAATGAACAAACAGGATCAATCTAACATGCATAGGACTTGTGACAGCATCAATTCGGGGTTAGCACGTGTGTAAATGCATGTAATAGTCTCTTTTAGACCGCCTGTCCGCAGGCCCTCGGAATCAAGAGCCGTCGGCTTCCTTTTCAGTCTATCTGCCTGTCAAAACCTAAGTCTCAAGTCTCGTACACATGGTTTCCCCACTGTGTTGTTGGCATATCCCCTATGTCCAAATGATTCATTCGGCGTCGGGTGACCGACAACCCGTTGCCGAACTGGCGCTGAATCCCGGGCGAACGCCGACCTCTCTCCCTTTTTTTTCAATCCTTCTTCATTCGTAGATGCATCAAAAATACGCCGCCACTACATGTCCACGTAATTCTGGCCTCTGCCAGGTCATCATTAGAGACTTCCAACGGCTCTCCCATTAGCCCTGCCATTGTCCATCCCTTCCGATATCGCTTGGTCGCTTGGCGATTAGATGAACCAAGTGTTCCGAAGGAGGCCGAAAATATGCCTACTCCTTTTCCAAAGTCTCCAGTTCCCTTAGGACGGTAGTCTTGGTTGCAATCTTCTTCATCTGCGTATCCTCGAGTTTCTCTCCGCCAGCGAGCCGCATCTCCAGATCCTCAATGGCACGGATCTTCTTCTGCAAGCTTCTCATCTTCTTCGCATTGGGGTTCTGATTCGCGCCAGGGCCTTCGCCGGCAGCTCCGGCCGCGGGGGCAGGAGGCGCCTTCTGCCCACGCTGGCCACTCGGGGTATGCTCTCGAGGACGGTCGAAGTTGCCCCGATGCGTATTGCTGCGGTTGCGGCCACCGTGCATGTTATTGCGCGACTGGCTCCGTGAGTGGTGATGCTGACTTCGCCGTTCCGGGCTATGTCCCTCCCCACCCGATCCGCTGCCAAACTCTCTCGGGGGAGGGGCCAACCCTCCATCGCCCACCGGCGCGCCTCCTTCTGTCTCCTTCGCCTTCTTGTTGCCTCGCTTCTTCTTATTCTTCAAGGCCGCCTTCGACAGGTTCTCATCCCCATCGACAGGTTCGGCGCCTGGCACGCCTCGAGGACCCGTGGGAACACCAGCGGTATCCGCGAATTCGGCACCGGGGATCTGGCGGCGAGGTCGGCCAAACCCATTAGGACCAAGCGAAGGCGCACCATTGCTCACGACATGAGCCGCGCCACCCTCATCCTCGCGCTTGAAATGAAGCGGCGTAACAGAGCCTCGGGCCCCTGGAGGACGGTATGCCCCCGCAGGCTTGGATGGTGTCTTGATGGTGCCGAGATACGCAAGAGCTGAAGCATGCGGGACGGGGACAGGATGTAACGGATCTGCCTTGGAAATGTTCTCGGGCAGGACTGGCCTCCACAAAACATTGTACAATTCGATCATATCCTCGTTGTACATGATGCCGCCGCCAACATGCCAGAGTTTGACGCCATTGTCGACTCGCAACCGCGGCGAAGTGGTCGCTGTCATGATGTAGACACTGTCCGGGCTCCATTGGCAAACGCTGGGGTTGCCGCTTTCAATGGTGCAGATCTTCTTATAGTCCTTCTCCAGGTCGTACACATCGATCTGGCCAGCCAGATTGCCAAAGCCTGCAACCAAGACGAAGCGGCCGGTCGGCGAGAATATGATCGTGTTACGAGGCCCGATGGGGAAGGAGTGCTGAGCAACGGCACGGTGATTGAAGATGGTGGTCTTCGCAGGCATGTAACCGTAGATAACGCCAAACTCCTTCGAGTTCGGGGACCAGGAGACATCGTGAATGGGTCCTTCCTTGTCAAGGGCAATACGTGCATCGAAGCCGCCATTAGCGCTGAGCAGATAGAGAGTAGTCTCACCGTAGTAACTCTTGTTGGATTTGTCCACTTCTGTTTGTGCCAGCACAATCAGGCTTGTTCCCTGTCCATTCCACTTCAGCTGCACCTTGTCGCCCTTGAAGAAAGTCTTCTGCGAGATAGGACTAGCAAACTGGGGTACGTTGAAAACCTTGACGGCGGCAGGTTGACCCTGTGATGAAGAGTTAGCATCGCGAAGAACCATGGCAATCTGTCATCTTTGTCCTCTCACCTTGCGCTCTGGAATGAAGACGGCCACTGAATGAGTCGGTCCTGGTGCGATGGCGAAATCGCTGACGCCCTCAACTCTGAGTTTATTCCACACGGTTGAGAGATCATTACTATCGTAGAACTGAACTTCGTTGGTCACGAGGCGAGCGCAGAACTTCTCGTCGGCAGTATATTGAAGATTCCAACCTGACTGCGACTTCTGCACGAATCGGCCCAGCGGCTGCTTTTCAACACCCTCGGGAAGGTCTTCGGCAGTGCGCCAGATCTTGAAGTTCTTGGTCGCATCGCCCGCCTCGTCCTTGGATGGGCGCTCCCACGTGCTAAGAAAAGAGCCACGTGGAGAGAAGCCGAGCTCGAAGACGTTGGGAATCGCGAGCGTGGTCAGCACATGGCCAACGGACGCATCGATGACGCTCACGCCCTCGTTAGAGGCCCAAGCAAAGTAGCGGCCGCATGGAGAATACACACAGCACCGGAGATTTCCTTCGGGCTTGACGAACCCGGGGAGGGGCTCGTATACCGGCGCCGCGTCGACGACACCGATGGCCTTCTGGGTCCGGTAGGCAAACTGCAACGGGCTAGCCATGACTAGTCAAAGTCACAGATATTTGCTGCTGCAGGGTAGTCCTGGAGTTGTAAGGGGTGTTCTTCTTGACGTCCTTCTTTTTGTCTTCTCGTGTGCTGATTGTAGAGACGCGTGTCCACACACAGATTTGTAGGGCAGCGAGGCACTTGGCTGGTCGTGATCTGAAAAATCAGAGGCTGCGGGCTTGGAAGGGATTCTCAAGCAAATGGCTATGCCGGGGCGTTGATGGTCGTGACGGACTCAGGTCTCGAGATTTGACGGGTGTTGGCGGGTGGGCAGTCCAATTCCCCAAGGGCGAAAATGGACGTTTGACACGTGAAGCCTTACGACCTGGAGGAAGAAGTTTGTGGTGATCGAGATAGCCAGAGGGCACAAGACAATGACAGTCAAACAGCCTCGGTCGGTTCAGTCGCAGCTGCAGCGCAGGAGTGAAAGGGCGGTGGGTGGGCTTTGGAGTCGGGGCGGCGGCGAGCAGCCAGACGCACAACAATCAACAAAGAGGAGGAGGATGAAGACCTGGACCTGGACTTGGATCTGGGCGGGAAAGACCCTGACCTGACCTCTGCAAAGAAACGGAGCCGGAGAAGAAGAAAGAGAAGGGTGACGAGGACTACTGCCCAGAAGGGGGCCGCGCGGAGGGGATTGGCAGGCGGTGCGTGTTCGTGAAGTGACCGTAGGTGAAGAGAAGGAAAAGGAGCGAAGCCGAAACCAAGTGGAGGATGCCTCTTACCATAAGGCGGTAGGTAGTAGCGTCTGTGATGATTTTTTCCCCCAGTCACTTTTTTTTTTTTGGCCTGTGCCTCTGTGGCTTGCTGGTGCTGGTGCTGAGTCGGGCACTTTCACCCCCACTACGTTTTGGCCTGGGCGCCGCCCGCCATTCCTACCCAAGCCACGATGTGGGTAGGTCGCCTTACCTACCCTTACCCTTCACTTCACTTCAGTCTTCTCAACTTGCTTCAATAAAAGTTGATAACTTGCCTATATAATCGCCCGGAAGTGACAGTGGCCAGTTTCTTTCTTACTCGTGTACTTAACAGATTTTATCGACGCTGCACCTGTCTCGGCAACCACTCGTGGTCCGACCGCTCTGAGATCCCATAGACAAACAGACACACATATCAAAATGCTTTCGAGCCTTCCTCAAAGACCGGGGTTTCGTCATGTACGACAAAGAGCACCCAGTGACTGAATTGTTTCAACCACAGAACGATGGCGTCTCCAGGATCTACTTAGCCAACTGTCACATCACGTGGAGAGTTGTCACCGTGTTTCGAGTACTAGGTCTGGCGCACACCGCGCTTTGCACCCCTATATCCATCAGTAAGATAGCCAATCATGCTGTTGCATTCATCAAAGAACATTCAAGGTTGGGTCGGCCGATGGCCAGTATGCAAGGTAGTTACTTAGTGTCCCGCAGCTGCAGCGTGGCTTACGGGAGTTGGCCGACAGGCTGGTTGTCTGCCGAGGTGTGCAACAAAACCTTGGACTACTACGCAACCTCGAATCGTTCAGCCTCAACCGGCCCACGGCCCACGGCCCACCCACACGCACAACAAAGCACCCCTATGTCGTCCTCAGGTTAGGCAATGCTGCTGCTGTTGATGGCGATGCTCGAATGGACACATCACGTATATGCGTTGCAAATAACGTGCGTTGTTGGTCGTCCAGTTGCTCTCTTTTCAGGAGTCCCCTCTAGTACATCAAAAGAGATGTGTGGCTGCCATGCATCGGTCAATGTGGTACACTCGATGAGATTCAACTGGCACCCATGCATGACGTGTATATTCTTTTTCGTTCAATGTCCTTGGAGCAGTAACAAGTCGCCGAGTCTCTCTTGTTTTCCGCTTAGAGAGGAAAGAGGAGGCGCAAGTCGTGTTATCTCATAGGCCTCCTTGCTTCCAAGACACGTGGACCACCCAAGTCCAGATAGATGTTTCTAGAAATCCTACCGTCTTGTTCTTGGTGAAGAGAGATAATGACTGCAATTAGAGCATTAGTACATTATTATCTGCTGTTCTTAATCAGGGTGAAGTATGCTCTCATCAAGGAAAGGCAAATGTCTGTTCTCAGCGTCGATTTCTACACCTAGCAAAGGTGCGTGTCGCTTCATACTATCACCTGACACCACCCTAGAGCTCTTTGGCTACGCAAGTTAGTCAAGCAATGTCAGAGTGATTATGTACAATGCACCAAGACAGCATTGAAACTCAGAAGTCGGCTGCGTATGGCACTGAGCTGGTTCGTATGGCAGGAGGTTCTACTACGGGGCTGACCGCCTCTACGTCCCATATCCAATCGATCAAATCCTCAAACTTTCGAGAAGCGACAGCTCTATTGACCATTCATTGTATTGACCTCTGCCATTCCACTTACGGAATGAAATCTCCACTGTCGGCTTTTTGCTATGTTCGAGCCAACACGGCCAAATCTTGACGAGAAATGCCCGCCGTGTGGGAACCCAGCAACCCTGTTTAAGCTCAATACCGTAAATGTTGTGTAAGAAGGCCCGACTTCTGTTGGTCTTCGAGGACAAGAGAGCCTCTCAAATATTACGTTGATGACGGTCAGTTCCGGCTCCTCAGGCGTGACTCAAAGGAAACTAGCAGGGAGAAAAAGGATTGAAATGACATACATGTACAGGAAGTAATGCTTGAGGCTCCATATAGCTCCCAATGGGTGATATTTCGTTTTCGGCTGGCTTTTGCAATGGTCGTGTCGACAGCGGTAACCCTACTTGGGCATTCGCTGAGGTGCTATCTGGCCCGCATTATTGCAAAAAGTCTCATCACATGAAGAGAGTAAAGTCTTCGCTAGCCTAAGTCAACCCATGATTGGTGAAGTACACGGAGTGGGAGAACAAGAGGGACCGAGAATAAAGCACCCCACATCGTGTAAGGAACTTCGAGGACACTTGAAAGACCGTTAACCGTTTGGTTATCTAGGAGATCAGAGTATAATATTTTGTAGCCATGACAAGAGATTCGCATTTCTCCTTTTCGAGTGAAAGGTTTCGCGCACATTGAATCTCCCCACTCCAATGAAAAACATATCGTGTAAGTTTATGATGCGAGGATACTGGTTACTCGTTAATACTTTCTGCGGATATCAAGCTGACAGCTGTGACGAGTTCATATGACATCAATCGTGATGGTTTCTTAGCGGCAGCGGTATAATCTGCAACTGAACAGAGGCCACGGTTCCCTCTTGGCAGAGTGTCCATTAGTCAAGTTTGATAGTTGCATATGGTGCATGTGTGCCGCCTTTGGCGTTATATTGTCCACCGTCGATATCAAACCTGTATTGATATCCCGCTGTCATATAAGCTTCAAAAAGAAATACGTCGAGCTAGTCATAACATCTGTCATGTTTCTCTCAATCATACAAGCCATGGACAAGAACGCACAAGTCTGGTGTAGGCTACAAATGCCTGTGACTGCTTCCTCACATGAACGGAACCCATCATGCCGTGTCGGGCTCTGGATCTTTGTGTTTTCAAGGCCCTGCAAGGCGAGTGAGGGTACGCGAGCAATTTTGAGCAAATGATCTTGGATACACTAGGTAGATGGCCGTCCTCTTCATTCGACAGCGCAACCACTTTCTAGAGCGGATCGACGACAATTTTGGTGACAGGCTTTTGCCTCGACGAGTATTAGGAAGCTGAAAATACGTCTTTCCTGACCGTCTATCCAGCTCCACTACCCAGCGTCGCACTCCTACTATCTCACCGTGTCGTTGAATGTTCTTCGGGAACGTAGCGTATAACCAGCGGCTTTCGCTAGAGGGCGAAGCCTGGAAGCCGAGGCGTGACAGTAGGCCGTCGGAAGGCGAGGGAAAGATAAGCCGCAACGTTTTCTCATCTTGTCGGTCGTTCTCTGTTTGCTTTACCACCTAGGGATTTGCTTCGACGTTGTTCTCCTGTAACTCTCTCTAAGACCTCGCTGTCGGTTTGTAGCACTGGTTTGCCCAAGCGCACATACTTGGATCTCTCCATCGACACAAACCTGCTGTTTATTTAAGTCTCCATGGACAACTTCGCTACCGACCACCCTGATTTGATTGAAGTGAAGACGATGGACTGAACGGGAGTAGGAAAATAATTTGACATGTTCGATTGGCTCTCATTATCGACTTTCTTTGGTATGTATGATGTCCCTTGTGCTGCCTTGGTCTCCATGTAGCCCGCCGTTGTGCCGATTTACTCTTTCGAAATCGTACCTCGAATTGTTGCTGTTACCTGTTCCAGTTCGAGCCCACGCCGTCGAGGTTGCTGTTGCTGCGAGCATAAATCGAAGAAGGCGATGAGAAGACGCCAGTGGAATGATTCAGCCAAAGTTAGAAGACGCCCGCTTGCCTCGAGTAAAATTCAACATCTAAATACACTCGGCGGGCTTGCATGGCAGAGAACAATGTTCGACCAAATTCAAAGCTGCAATATTCCCCTCATTGCGATGGACGATGTTCGCGAGATGACGTAGGGCTCGAAATGGGGTGTTGTTTGTCGATCACCATCACCGTTTATGTCAAAGCCATTTCCTGAACTAATATCGGCCCGAGCTTCCAGGCTTTGACAATTTGCAACGTGCTTGTTTACCAAAAAATGATTTATAGAGAGATTGCTCCTTACCAACTTGTCAATCTTACCGTACCTCGATTACAAATGAAGTCTGAATTTTGTGTTTTGAATCGAATGGAAATCCTCGTCTCTGCAAGTGACGTCACTGGACGTTTTCACTAGAGGATTCTTCGTACAGAGAGCATCCACAGGCTGTTCAGATGCCATAAGATGCACAGTCGAGCGCCTGTCGCATTCCGTCTTGTGATGCCCCCCGTGTAGCTTTCAAGAGCCTTACACTTCTTCCTCTTTTTGGCACCGATCAAGACACCCAGACTCGAACCGAAGGCTTCGATGAGCTTCCCCCCATCTTTCAATTCGAGCACGGACCCCGAGGTTTCGTAGATCATTAACATCATGATCGGCAGTGATTCTGCAAAAGATCGGG